AGGAATAGTTTGTATGTGCGTGCGTGTGTTTGTGTGTATTTGCTTTTGCATGTACGTGCACACTTAACGTGTGTGTCTGTTCTTGTATATGTGTTTGCGTATGTTTGTGTGCATTTGTGTGTTTGAGTGCTTGTGTGTGTGTGTTTGGAGGACAGGACAGGACAGAGGAGCAGAGATGGAGTGGAGTTGTTTAATGACAGGAACAGCTGACTTGTTTAGAGAGCAGTGAAAGGTAATTAACCCTGGGAAAACTACAGCTGCCATGCGAGCTGTTCACTTCAGTGCAATCTGATTAGGAATCAGTGCTACTGCGCTGCTTGGCTCCTTTCAGACACACACACACTGTGTGTGTGTAGAGTGTGTACAGTGTGTGTGTTTTCTACGTAAACTTTTCCCACCCGGAGGCCTCTGGGCACGGGAGACCTGCCTTTTGTGGCACGGGATTAGCTTGAACGGTTACTACGTTTCTCCAAATTGCCGACCACCTGGTAGCATTCAGGCAACACTCCTCCTGCCTGAAAAGGGTCTCCTTGGGAAGAAACAATGGTCAGGATTACTCTGTAGTGATGACAGACACCCGGGCTGGAACTTCTTTCCCCCAAACACCTGTCCATGAATTAGTCCTTGATAGTGTTTTGAAAAACCTATGTTCACTAACGATTTGAAAGATGCAAATTAACATGACATACAGTATTCACACCCCTTGACCTTTCCCCCATAATTTCAAAGTGGAACTATGTTTTTAGACATTTTTACAAATGAATTAAAAATGAAAGCTGAAATGTCTTGAGTCAATAAGTATTCAACCGCTTTGTTATGGCATGCCTAAATAAGTTCAGGAGTAAAAATTTGCTTAAGAAGTCACATAAGTTATATAGACTCATTCTGTGTGCAATAATAGTGTTTAACATTATGTTTTAATGACTACCTCATCTCTGTACCCCACACATACAATTATCTGTAAGGTCCCTCAGTTGAGCAGTCAATTTCAAACACAGATTCAACTACAAAGACCAGGGAGGTTTTCCAATGCTTCGCAAAGAAGGACACCTATTGGTAGATGGGTACAAATAAAAAAAGCAGACATTGAATATCCCTTTGAGCATGGTGAAATTATTAATTACACTTTGGATGGTGTATCAATACACCCAGTCATTACAAAGACACAGGCGTCCTTCATAACTCAGTTGCTGGAGAGGAAGGAAACCACTCAGGGATTTCACCATGAAGCCAATGGTGACTTTAAAACAGTTAGAGTTTAATGGCTGTGATAGGAGAAAACTGAGGATGGATCAACAACATTATAGTTACTCCACAATACTAACCTACATGACAGAGTGAAAAGAAGGAAGCCTGTACAGAATAAAAAATATTCCAAAGCATGCATCATGTTTGCAATAAGGCACTAAAGTAAAACGGAAAAAAATGTGGCAAAGAAATTAACTTTATGTGCTGAATACAAAGCGTTATGTTTGGGGCAAATCCAACACAACACATCACTGAGTACCACTCTTCATATTTTCAAGCATTGTGGTGGCTGCATGTTATGACTTTGTGTCATCGGCGAGGACTAGATATATATATATATTTAATAATACAAAAAAACGGAATAGAGCTAAGCACAGGCAAAATCCTAAAGGAAAACCTGGTTCAGTCTACTTTCCAACAGACACTGGAAGACAAATTCACCTTTCAGCAAAACAATAACCTAAAACATAAGGCCAAATCTGCACTGGTGTTGCTTACCAAGACAACATTGAATGCTCCTGAGTTGCCTAGTTACAGTTTTGACTTAAATCAGCTTGAAAATCTATGACAAAGCTTGAAGAATTCAAAAAAGTATAATGTGCAAATATTGTACAATCCAGGTGTGCAAAGCACTTAGAGACTTACCCAGAAAGACTCACGTCTGTAATCGCTGCCAAAGGTGATTCTAACATGTATTGACTCAGGGGTGTGAATACTTATGTAAATGAGATATTTCTGTTTCATTTTCAATAAATTAGCAAAAATGTACAATAACATGTTTTCATTTTGTCATTATGGGGTATTGTGTGTGTATATGGGTGAGAGAGACAAACATATATTTAATCCATTTTGAATTCAGGCTGTAACACAGCAAAATGTGGAATAAGTCTAGGGGTATGAATACTTTCTGAAGGCACTGTAGGTGTTAATTGATTGTGTCTCAGAAAACAAATGTAAATGGGTGCGATCCTGTGATGTAGGCTTAATTTTCTTTGGGGTATTATTAGTCTTGGTAGTTATAGATAGCATGGTAGCAAACCATTCCATAAAACAAAGCAATAGGCTGTTTTTGAATATTCAACATTTCTGTTCTGATTGAGATTGATATTTGATAATTAATTGCAAAAAATCATCTAAAAAGCTATCTTTCATAGAATAATATAACTATATGACTACCTATTTATAAAAGTGCCCCAGTTTTTGTGAAAAAACTACAGAAATGGTCTCTCTGATGGCGGAAGAAGAAGAAGAACCAATCTGGACTTTGTGCCACTGTGACTGTGTGGACCTGGTCCAGATTAACTCAATTTAGAAGGGAAGGCTTTGGGATGACTTTGGAAAGCGATTACAAGATTTATAAATCACCTCAGCGCAGGTGTCACCATCTGACTCTTTTATGGGCCGCCTTGCTAACTGGCTCCAATAACAAGTTTCCCCTGTAGTTATGCCATCATAACAAATCATTGAAGCGATAGTGGCTGGCCAGCCAGGCTCCTAATTGTCTGTTAAGAATTCTGTGGAGCCTCGTTCCCTTTATTGAAGCTTCTCAGTCTTGGAGAAGTGATAAGACAGAAACCAGTTTGTAGACCCCCGTATAAAAGTACTCATTTGGCATGAGACAAACACTTTGCTTGGCGGCCAGGATGGCTGCATTGGAGACTGTTATGTCTGAAATCACAGTTGTCTCTGGAAGTCCGGAAGCGCCCCTCTGAGTATTTTGGTGTGTAAAAAGTGAAAGCCCACTGATCAGAATATATTCTGTTTCCCTTTTACTGTATTTATGTGAATGGATTGGTGTTCTACACTTTGGCGATTGTTCATGCGTTTTCTCTCCTTCTCTCTCTCTCTCTCTTTGAACTTATATTATCAGTACTGAAATAACGTGGAATTGGGCAAGTCCGGTATGGTTTCCTCCATACCTTACCTGGCTTAGCTTGTGTTAGCCTCTTTAGCCTACTTGCTGTCACTGTCCACAGTTGGTTCTACTTTATTTAATACCATTCTGTCATCTTCTCATGGTATTGAATATACAATCTTTCATTGGAAGAGGTATACTGTGAGGATTTTTGATGGGATGAGTTTGGAGTGTTACAAAGACCAAACTACTCTATGATACTTTAAACTTGTATAGACCTTAAGACTATTTTCAGTACAATTGCTTGTGAGGTCAAACTATTAGTTCAATCATATCTCTATTAATTCTGCATCATAAGAAAGTCACCAATAACTGAAAATATTGGGACCCATTTGTTTATATTTAAGGAATATTAAATATATTACTTTTATAGAAACATTACCCTATTATTTTTAAGAGTTTATAATATGCATCATTTTGATGGCCGGCTTTGATATGAATAGGAAAATCAGAGTTCCCCCTTCCTCGCTTTCACCCTCCCCCTCCTAAAACGTTTCTTAGCTACTATTCTAATGTCCAGCTGCTAGCTTTTTAAGCAGAGGGCATGCGATGGCTTCCTGGTCGCAGCACCGCAAATAGAAAATACTTTTTTCAAAAACGTGTTTATCAAAATAGTCTCTTAGCAGGGCTTGTTTTACACTATGAATTCATTTGCATTTCAATGAAAGGTGGTGAAAGCAGTTCTGTGTTCCTTACCATCATATACCATTTCAATTTGGCTCTCCACTGACAAGGGATCACTGTCTGCACACAAGCAACCAGCATTATTGTAAAGCGCACATTTTTTGTTTAAAAACACTTTACATGTTGCTGATTCTAAACACAGTGGAGGATAACAAAACCCCAACCGCTCCCATTTTACATATACAATTATGATCAGTTTGCTGTATACACTTAGACATTCATTACAAGGAAATATGAAAGTAAATTGTGCTATATATTGTTTGCTGTTTGCTCTTTATTATGCAGAAACAGAAAACACTTAGCATGTCAAATTAATCTGGAAATGATTCCCGGGGTAAACTATAAACACAGAAGTTACCCCGCACATTTACCCTCTTTTTTCCCCTCCTTCCTCTAGATCAGAGTGTAATTGCCAGTAATCAGGTCTGTTTGCTGCTGATAAAACCTCTCTGAATGCGAGGAACCCTCTTTGTGTGATGACTCAATTATGCCAGAAGTGGCTCATCAAACCTGGCCCATCAGCTGCTTTAATAAATAAGGAGGAAAACTTGCTGCGGGCGCATTATAATTCCATTCATTCCATAATTAAATTCATTCCAGTTTTAACCCTTAGTTCATATAGTCTGCCTCTGGAAGAGGAAACAAAAACAGAGGGGGGGGTGGACTGAACAGACAGTGACCTTGCATAGAGCATCTACCCATCCCCTTAATTCAAAATGATACTGCTGAAGAAAGGTTAAGAGAAAGGCTCAGTGAGAAGAGAAAGGATGGTATCAGTTCAGATAGAGTTCCCTTTCTGTCTGTATGCATTGTTTCCACACAGCTTTAGACAGTAATTATGTTAAAAGTGTAATTTAATCATAACAGTTGGTTGGGGGAGCGTGCGGGAGCTGACATTTTAAAACCTTATTTGGTGTAATCTCATTTGCCTAGCTATCATCTTGCATCTGCCCCAATCTAAAGGAAATGTAAACAAAGTAATTCACGCTTATAGTCTTCACACTTTTAATTGCCCAACTGTAAGGTTTTAGTGTTTTTTTAATTAAGTACCACTAGTGCCATTGACTCAGTTTTACTTTATCACTATAGTGTCTGTTAATTACATGAGGGTGTCCCAAGTGCAGGGATAAGCTGGGAACAAGGGGACATTTGAATGACTCAAGGTCAATGATGATTATTATTATACTAATGAATATCACTATTAGTTGGAGCAGTAACTGTACAGTAGTTGTTGGGATGGGTAAAAATAGGAACAGGACCACTTGTATTGATGGTGACATACAAGTGCCGTTAGTAGTTTAGGAATCAACCACAGTATCAGTAGTCATAGTTGTACAGATGTAGGATCTTAATTTGACCAGTTTCTCACAGCAGGAAAATAATCCTTAAGCAACAGGAACTTTTAATTATTGTGTGGATTATAGTTAATGGACGTTTTTGTAGGGGTTGATACATTTTTTGGAATACACTGCCAGTTTGTATTTCCTGCTATGCAGGACATTTCCTGCAACAACAGGGTGATCAAATTAAGATCCTACACCTTCTAGTAGTAGTTGTTTTAAACAGTAGCATAAGGTAGCTTCAATATCAACAATATACAAAACTGCAAGACCTTGTCAATGGCTAACCTTTTTGAAGTGGATTTCCAACAACTCAAATAACCTCATACCTGTATATTATCTATATTTAACCACTTGTAGTTTGAATGGCTATGATGAACAATAATTATGAACAATATATGCTTGATTGCATTTATATTTTGTATTAGAGCAGGCAAAACCACAGTTGGATCCAAAGTAACAGATCCAACGGATAAGCAGTCCCCATTCAACCCCTCTCCAAACGGTGTGTGAGGCCATGGTTATTCATGACTGTTGGACTGGGAAGCCCTCTCCCAGTCCCAGTCAGTCACAGCCCATTCTCTCCTATCCTCTGTGGTGGGAAAGGTAGCAGATGGAATAGGGTGGGGAATGGGCTGGTCCCAAGGACAGCATGCAAAGCAGCCAGATTAGCACATAGAGAATCACATAGAAACACTGAGCATCAGGCATTAGGCAACTCTGCTCAGTATCCCCAGAGAAATCTGCCCCATACATGGGCAAATAGTCCTCAGAGAGCAAGACGTTATTTGTCTATTTGTGTTGGGGGGCAGGAATATGATTCAGCAGATGAGAAACCCACCGACCTTCCTTAAATAGTAGTGAGTCTCTTTTTTTCTTATGCTAATGACTCCGAGTCCCCCCTTTTGGTTTCCAGAGGGGAAATGCTCTGAGTGTTATAATTAAGATGTTTTTTATTTTTCCTTTTTTTTCCAAAGCTAACAGAAATAAATAATTCCTGTAATAAGATCTGTGAAGTGAAGAGGTTTAATGTACTCATTGTGTTCGTCCTTGTTTTTCCTCTTGGATGTTTTGTGTTAATTAGACTGTGAGCAATTTGATCTCTGTCAAGCAATCAATTTGCATCTTGGTCCTTATTCCACCATGTGAGGTATTATCATGTTTCCTGCCCGTCACTATCTCTGGCTGAATGCACGTTCACCAACCATGTCTATCACCACCAGAACCTTTAGCATCGAGGGCAATATTATAATTATCAATATGATTCATTAGTTAACCAACCTACAGTATACTACGATTAGATGGCAAATTGGAAATTGCGAATCAGTGAAAAGTTAGTAAGTTGTTTCTTTCCACTCCACTTTTGATTTGTAGGCCTACATGTATTTTTATTATAAGTATATTTGTTTTGTTTTTTTGTTACAGAGGATGAATTTCATGCTCACATCCTGAAAAAAGTCAAGAATTGTACACACATCGACCAAGGTGGACTGCGTGGACCTTGCAGCACGTCGTATATATTACCCAGAAAACTGCAAATAAAGGTAGGCTTAATATAATTTGATAATATATTTTCCAGTGAGGGGTTTGGGTACTATAAATGTGGATAGAAGAGCATGGAGCTAGTGGATGCCCTCTACAATAAGGTTGAAATATAGCCAAGTTCATTGTCCTGAAAAAAAAGGACATTTTACCAATTCACTTTATCTGTGAACGGATATAGTCATGTATTTGTAAGGCTAATGGAAGTGGTAGCCATGATGTTCTGGATAAGCAGCATGTTTAGCAGTGTCATGTCAACGCCCTTTTGACCCCCGCGAAATATGAGACTCAGATATTCTTCTACATATGCAGGGATGTGGGCGTTTGCAGATTTTGTGTATTCAATATGTAGCTAGCTTTGTTGAGTCTGCTGCTTTATTGTTATACTACAGCACATGTATTGTAGTCTACTGTATGTTGGAAGTGACCATGCCTCCCAGGCTGCATTTAGACAGGCAGCCCAATTCGGATCTTTTTTTCACTAATTGGTCTTTTGACCAATCAGGTCAGCTATGAAAAAGAGCTGATGTGAAAAGATCTGATGTGATTGGTCAAATGACCAATCAGTGGAAAAAATATCTGAATTGGGCTGCCTGTGTAATTGCAGCCCCAGTGTTCTACTTTAGAAATACGTTTCTAAGTCCAAAATGGCTGGCTGAAACCATGACAATGTCCAGACAGCCTTGTATAAGGATGGTCTCTTTAAAAATAGGATGATCATAATGTCAACAATAAGGAAATGGGAAACATTTTGTACTGACCAATGACCACCAAAGATCTATCATGTGTATGTTATATAGTTTTGTGCAGTGTCATGAATATATGACACAAACAAATCCCTGCCTGAGACTTTAGTAAATATTTAATACAAACAAAGCCTTATTTGAATAGCATGTACTGTATCTACAGTATTTGTTCTGCTTGTGTAAATATATTATTTGAACGTCATGTGTTCTCTCCATGTCTACTTCTCTCTCTTACCCATAAACATCTATAGGAGATTTTCACGTTGCTCCATTATTTCTGATTCGTCCTCTGCAGAATTAGTTACAGCCATACAGCTTCGAGTTTGTGAAGGACCAACAATAGCTTTTGTCGAATGGGTGTCAAAAGCACATGCTCTATACCCTCTCAGAACATCTGTGCTGCTCACAAAGCAGAAAATATAATACTTGAACTCAAAAGGCTTGAGCTGTTTCTCCATCTCCCCTCAGATAATACATGAAGTTGACTAGATACAGGCCTTTGAAGGAATACAGTCTGTAATTAAACGTTCTAACAAACATATTGAGCACAATTGAAAAAGCATGATCTTCTGACAAAATATCAGTCGAATTTATACTTCTCAGGGTCAAAACCAAGTTCATCAGGTATCTAACGACGATTGAAGCATTATTATATTCAATATAGTATTTTCAATATATTCAAATAAGTAATTTTCAAAATACATGATATTCTGGCTTTACTTGTAAGATAGAGGAATTTAAATGGTTCATGTACAGAGCATTAATACGGCATTAAATAAAAGAGGTTGTGTTATGAAATATTTAATAAGTGTTTAAAACAAGTAGATTTGCATAATGTGAGTGTTGCCTCTCAATAACACAGAGGTGCCTAATGTGAAAATATTAGTCAATCTGTGAAATTAATACAAGTACACCGATTACACTATCTCAATTTGAAATTTAAATTAATTTGTATTATTGTAGACATTGTAACACATACACTATCTATACAAATCTTGTTTAATAAAAACAAGTTATATAAATTCATACAAAACGAGTGAGTATCTCTTGTCTGTGTGTGTCTGTTCATACGATGATGGAAAAAGTGTAATGAACTAATGAGGTACATTAGTTTTTACAGAATGTAATCTATAGTGTTTGGGTAGTTGTTTGTCTCAATAGGGCCCTAGTAATCAAAAGTAATGAACCTATTATGAGCAGGTCCTCGGAGGGCCTGGCGTGGCATTGAAGAGTGTGGCACATAAAAGGTTTATTAAAGTAAATTAAGGTCCATCACTGCCACACCTGCTCCCCTATTATAAATGTATGACAGGTCAGTGCCTTCAATCACAACAGCAAACCAGAGAGAGGAGTCATGTTTCCCATTACCAGGAAAAGTAACAGCGTATCTATCCTGTGACTCACAGATTTCACTGGCCTGTGACCACTATACACCGCCATCAGCCCGGAATAATTACCTTTAATAGGTTTTATTGGGGATCCACACGAGCAATGGTGGCGAGGGAGAGTGGATGGATTTGAACAACTATTTTGGTCTAAACACACTATTGTGTGTCTGTGTACCACCACCTGCACTTTAATGTCATTATTTTGCATTATGATGTTTTTCCCACCTTGAAAAGTTTTTTGTTTTGTTTTATTAACTTCACCTTCGCTTGGTGTTTTGCTTTTACATGTGTTTTAGTGACTCTACACCGATTAAATGCCACAGATAATCAACACGTAAATACATAAATGTTCTGGGAAATATAGGGTAATGTTGATAGGAAGGTTAAAAGTTACTTCAAATAAACTTCAACCACTGACGTCAAGAGCCCTCAAAAATTGGATGGATACAGCATCTGCTGAGCGAAAGATCATTATTCCAGTCCCAGTTGTCAATATTAACAAAATCTGTATTTTGTTAGAAATGAGTGTTACATGCTTAAGAATTCATAGTGTGTTCTTTATCAACAGATGGATTCAGAAGGAGAGGAAAACACAATCCAAACATGGAACAGTGGTAAAGGTGAGCAGCGTTGACAACTCTTACCATGTTCAAGCAAGCACATCAATAGCAGTAACCGAGCACTTCAGCAATTCACACACATTCCACTTATACAGCTATCGGGTCTAGGGAGGAATCAGTTCAACAATCCAACTTTACAACTGTCAGTTTTACGAATTATCTTACCGATTTGAAGAGCACTGCATTGCCATTATTTTATTCAGATGGGGAATTAGTTCATCAAATTGGAACTGTGGCTCAAATTCGTTAAGGAGTGAATATATATAGTGTGATTGAAAACCCCTAGACGGGGATACCATTATGCTAGTGTTCCAAGCCTCTAAGGACTGGCTGGTGGCACCAGAGCCATTACTACGTCTGGGAAATTCATGGAAGCTTTATTGTGGGGTTGTGCTTCATGGGAATAGGGTGGACTTGAATGAGAATGAGATTTGCATCTGTGGTGCATGGCCTTCAGGGAAAATCGATTTGCCTTTTCAGATCATGTTGTCAAAGCTGTCAGGAGGATGAGCTACAGCAGATCTCAGAGAGAGGAGAGCAGATTGGGGTTGTGGATATTTTATAAAAAATCTTGACGATAATTTTGATCATATCAGAAGGCTTTTGTTTAAATAAAATAGTTAATTCTAAAAGGTTGCAAAAAATCTATTTTGATAAGTAGCTGTAAATGTAATCTTTTCATAGAACATTTGATAGAGTACCATCCGAAATCATGCTAGGGGAACACCCCACTACCATGAGTGTAGTCGGCCCACAGTGTATTCATTCACAACTGCTTATCCAAAACGTGGAGCTAGTACAGTAGATTGGTAGCTTTGATCAGGATTGTGTTTCCCCAGTAGACAGATGCAGAGCCTGAGTCACTCCACAGTGGAAATGTAAACATGACTATTTACCTGACGTACCTCTGCTTCTGTTTACAGTTCCAGCTGACTGCATCACCCAGGCTCCCAGGTAAGGGTTCACGACCTCTTTGTGAAAATAAACACTTACAGATATCCTCTAACTCACCCCTGGGTTTCTATGCCCTTGCATACAGAATGAAATAGGCATCCTTTGTTAGTAGATGTGGTATGCTGGCCATTCTCTTATCTTGATAATACCGGTTATAATTGAATTTGGCCCTGTAGCTCTTCACTGCATCTAGGTACTTCATTTGTATAAAACATTTTTTGTTCGTTCATCATCTCAGCCAAATACAGTTTCTTCAACCTTATGTTGACCTTTTTTCACTCTAGTTACAAAAAACACTTGCATTTACTTTCTGAATGCTGAAAAATACAGTTGGGGAATAAACTGACAATGTTACATTTTAGGTTCACTTTCAGTTCAAAGTTTTCAGATTAACCCCAGTAACGGCTATGGCCTTTTGTTGACCCCATTGCATCTTTTTATGAATCCACTCCCCCACAACAGCATATATGGGTCAATGGCTGCTAGGAAGAGGCTTGCCCAGGAAGGGGTGCAGGGCGTCCCCGTCAACAAGAGAAAGTCTCTCCTGATGAGGCCCCGCCACTACAGCCCCAGCAAGGCATGCTGCGAGGAGGAGAATGAGGACCTGGCACCGCCACAGGACAAAGAAGAGCTGAGGAACATTGACACTCCAGCAGGTAGACAGATGTCCTGTTGTTTGTCTGTTTTGATGAACAATTGACGCTGAATTTTAAAATCCCATCTGTTGCATTCATATTTCCCTCCCTCTCTATTGCCTGTCTGCTCACCATCAGCCAGACCCCATAGTCATTGTGTATTGGAAGTGAAAGACGAGACTGCTGGGTCCACATTAGTTGTGTCTGTCTCACGTCCTCAGTCATACTTTTGACAGCTTATCTGCCATGATATTTTTGGCATGGCTTTTCCCCCTATTTCTGATGTGGCCAGATTTCGGACTCCTCATTTTCTTCTTGTCTGATGTGTTTGGTTTTTCTGAAAAGCCATTCAAAAATAGGTTGAAAACACTGAGAATTGAAAAATGATGATAGTGTTTGCTTTAGGCCATTCTGATTTGAATGTCATCTGTTGATGTTTGTTTAGTAAAGTTAGTTTAGTTGCGGTTACAATATACACACGATTTATTGATTATTAACACAAGCTGATGTTGCATCTTAAACAGAACCAGCTCCCCTTCGGAAGTATGCTATTGCTTAAACATGTTCTTATAAAACCAATGTCACTGATACAATAGAATAAATTGGTGATTATTTGTCAAAAGATACTAAGACCAAGCTGCGTACTCAACAATGACATAAGGAAATGCTTGTGTTTATTTCATTGAAAAACACTGCCTCCCCCCAGAAGCAAAACATTTCTATTTCCAAATGAATTGAATTTTGAGCATTTTGGCAACAATACCCATGGTTTACATGTGCATTCTCACCCACAATAATCTGCACTTATTTGGTGTAGTTTTAACGATGTAACTAAGCAACAAACGTAATTGTCCCCTTCGAAAGCTTTTGTTAGGCCCTCTAACACAGTCCAAATATACATAATTAGGCATAATGTCTACAGCTCATTATAGTACACATGTGGGTAGTTAAATGGACCAAGAGAGTAGCTCAATGAATTGTGCGGATTAATTGGAAATGGAATTTATTTGTTTCCGGGGTTCATATAACATTACAATTATCGTAACCCTTTTTGCACTAGCTTCGCTATCTGTTTTTTTCCCCTTTGATAACTTTCTTTGTTCATATACCTCCCTCTCATGGTCTGTTTGTGTTTCAAGCAGAGCTTTTGTGTCTGTATTCAGTCACCACTAGCTACTTGTACTGTATTATAACCTTTTAATCAAGAAAAGTTGATATTTTTTATCAAAAGAGGGCACCAGCAAACAGAAAGCTCTATAAAATACAGTGAACATGTATCAAAAGGCAGGCAACACAAAGAAATGACTGAACATTGTGTGATTAACATAGGCCTACATACATTTGTAAATATATTTTTCTCACAATCAGGTCTGGGGGTATTTTATGTGAAAAGATTATGACAGTTAAAGTGGATAGAAAAAGCCATAAGAATGTAACAGCGGGATACTGTTCATATCTGCATTTTAAAACAAGAGGGAAAAATAAGCCGCTAATTTGGTCGAGCCGCACTGCGTTCAACTCCAGCCAAGCTCCAACCATACTGCAGAGCGCCGGTAATGGCTATTCTGGAGTACAAACTGTTCACCTGTTCCAATAGACAAACCACAGGAGGGATCCACGTTTTTTTCTCCAATGCAGTCTCTTTTCCACTGCACTTTTCTCACTGTGTGTGTGTGTGTGTGTGTGTGTGTGTGTGTGTGTCATCCCATCTTGTCAAAAATAAGTTATTTTCTGTCTGCTCTGCTAATTGTAACTAAGCATAACTGACTTTTCATCTTTGTTGAACAGTCTGCTATTTGTATGCCTCTGTTTAGAATTAAATGTCTCTAGCAACAAAAAGATTATCAGCCACGTCATTGCATGTCTCACAAAATCCAGCTTCATATTTTGCAGCGAAAAGGAGTTTAACCAAGTCTATTTCATTCACCTACTTCCTCTGTTGCTGTTCTGTTTACACCTGCCTTGTAGTGTGGTAGTGAATATACATCACATTCAGTAGTACATGTACCTACATTTACACAATCCAAAATCATATGCTTCAAAACAAAAGCCGTTATTCTTTTTTGGCAGAGGTTCGCCAGATAAGTCAGAGCGCTACACTTCCTGCATTTAGCAGCTTTTATTTTGGGGGATGAAGTTTTCTACTGTGGCCTGACTAATGGCTAGTAGTAGCTGTTTGGTAATGCCTTGATCATCCTCAGTGGAATCCACTTACTAGCCTATATAGCCTACAGAATTGCATCCTAAATTATCTCCAGATCTATCATCAACCTATTGGATCCCTCTCTCTCTAGTCTCTGTGGGTTACTTTTAATTTGCTCCGTGACGTCTTAAGAGGATAGATCTACTCAGTACTGTACAGTCTACTTATGATTTATAGAATAAAAACACTTATGGCCTCACTAAAGAGCTTTAGCACCGAAAATACGTTTCAATGATTTGGGGGCTCAAAATAGATTTTTATTGAATCAATCCAGATGATAGCGTTCCATTGTTAATCATTGACCATGACTTAATATTAATATAATCAGGGGTATTACTATACTAAGTGTCATTTAACATGCATTTTGGGGAACTAAGAGGCCTAGCTTTTCTGTTTGTTCCACTTAAACTGACCAATGCTTGAAACCATAAATTCAAATGTCATGTGAAATATATTTTACCATTACACACAGTCCTGGGATACAATAATTGTTTTGATATGTTCATAAAAATGTCCTCTGATGGAAAAGCTTTCTTTAAAAGCTTTTAGTAAAGAATCAATGTAAAAATCAATTATCAGGTGCACTCGGCATAATAACATATTGAAAAAAGATTTAGAAAATAAAAGGAAAAGAAAGAAAGACTGAAAAGGGAAACAAGGATTTTTGTAAAAAATAGAATACTGAAATGTTTTCCTCTTTCTTGGTTCTTATGCTTACATATAGATATGTGTTCTTAAATGAGTTGTGTGCGAATGACAACAAGTGACTATCTTTAAAATCATAAAGCCCTGCTTGGCTTACACCTCATAACTACTTAAAACTGATGTTCAGTGCCACAAACCATGTAAATCTCTGTCATAATCTGGTCCGTTTAAATCCACATCAAGTTGTTGTATTCTGATTAGAGATTTCTAAGAAGAAGAAGACAATCTTATTCTTCATCTTTAGGTTTCATGATCAACTAGCCAAAATTGTCTCATGTATTATCTCTGATGTACTTGAGGAATTGCTGGGAAATCTTGCAGTTGCTGTCCTGTCCATACTATTACTATTTTCATTACATATTGTATTTGCCAATCCTCTTAACAGTCATTTCAAACGACAAGACATGCGTTTTCAAGATAGGAAAAAGTGTCACGAAATTCGTGTTGAATGTCTCTGCAAAACATTACTCTCTCTGCCTAACCAAATGTTCTCTGAAAAGCATGGCCTTAATATGAACAATTGACTCAAGCTTGAAAATAATATCACAGCATAGTTTTTGTTCTCTTTTGCTCTTACTTTGTTTCTAAGATGGAGACTCAGAAACACTTAACGTGCCCAAGAGTAATGGCTGCCAGGACGCAATAACAAAACCCCATGATTCCTTTGGATGGTCTGAAGTGGTGACTGATGACTCTCCCCATGAGGAGGCTGCAGCCTCGGAAACTTTGGAGGACGAAGAGGTGGCGGAACGAAACCAAGAAGAAGAGGAAGAAGACCAAAGTCAGGACAGGATGAGTATGACTTGCAGTTTGTCACCACGTAAAAGCCCATACGGAGACAGCCGGGAAGCCGAGTGGGAGCTTCTGTCCCTGTCTCATTCTGCAAAGTTGAATGGCTCCAACGGCTCAATCAGCAGCCCCTCCAAAGCCACCACCGGAGAAAGATACCTATCGGGGAGAAACGGCCACCAACACATGAGAGATGATGATCCTGAGTCGGACCTTAGCGGGTACAACATGGGCATATTGGGCAGAGCAGGTCCCTTCCAGGCAGGGCCCCTGCGACTCTACCGATCAACCCCCAGTGAGGAGGACAGTGAGGGGGAGCCAGAGGTGGAGAGGCCTCCTCGGCTGGAGGCCTGGACCCTGGGCCTGCAGGAGATGGAGAGACCCCTGGGCCAGGAGATGGACAGAGACAGAGAAGAAAGAGACAGGGACAGAGGGAGGGTGAACCTGAGCCTCCTGGAGCAGGCCATGGCCCTGCAGTCAGAGCAGAGGCAGGTCCTCCACAATGCCTACAGGGAGATGGACAGGTTCCTACTGGAGCAGATGACCAATGAGAGGAGGCACCAACGGCTACTGGACGTGGACACCAGGGTGGGCTATCATGGATGCAAAGGTACAAATACTAGATTTGAATAAATCTTATTTCTTTGTCAATTCAAGATTCTAGATTTTTCTTCTTCTTCATAACAGGTTTATATCAACGTAATGACAGTGAGGACCCATTTCTTTAAGTCATTCCTCTGTTTTTGTATGTGTACTATTAAGGCCACTTGAGAACAATAGAACTACACCACTGTTTAAAAGTTTGGGGTCACTTAGACATTTTCTTGTTTTCCATGAAAACATACATGAAATGAGTTTGAATAGGAAATATAGCAAAATGAATAGGAAATGTAGTCATTGACAAGGTTAGAAATAATGATTTTTAATTGAAATAATAATTGTGTTCTTCAAACTTAGCTTTCGTCAAAGAATCCTCCATTTGCAGCAATTACAGCCTTACAGACCTTTGGCATTCTAGTTGTCAATTTGTTGAGGTAATCTGAAGAGATGTCACCCCATGCTTCTTGAAGCACCTCACACAAATTAGATTGGCTTGATGGGCACTTCTTACGTACCATACGGTCAAGCTGCTCCCAACAACAGCTCAATAGGGTTGAGATCCGGTGACTGTGCTGGCCACTCCATTATAGACAGAATACCAGCTGACTGCTTCTTCCCTAAATAGTTATTGCATAGTTTGGAGCTGTGCTTTGGGTCATTGTCCTGTTGTAGGAGGAAATTGGCTCCAATCAAGCGCCATCCACAGGGTATGGCATGGCGTTGCAAAATGGAGTGATAGCCTTCCTTCTTCAAGATCCCTTTTACCCTGTACAAATCTCCCACTTTACCACCACCAAAGTACCCCCAGACCATCACATTGCCTCCACCATGCTTGACAGATGACATCAAGCACTCCTCCAGCATCTTTTCATTTGGTCTGCGTCTCACAAATGTTCTTCTTTGTGATCTGAACACCTCAAACTTCGATTCGTCTGTCCATAACACTTTTTTCCACTCTTCCTCTGTCCAGTGTCTGTGTTCTTTTGCCCATCTTAATATTTTGTTTTTATTGGCCAGTCTGAGATATGACTTTTTCTTTGCAACTCTGCCTAGAAGGTCAGCATCCCGGAGTCGCCTCTTCACTGTTGATGTTGAGACTGGTGTTTTGCGGGTACTATTTAATGAAGCTGCCAGTTGAGGACCTGTGAGGCGTCTGTTTCTCAATCTAGAGACACTAATGTATTTGTCCTCTTGCTCAGTTGTGCACTGGGGCCTCCCACTCCTCTTTCTATTCTGGTTAGAGCCAGTTTGCGCTGTTCTGTGAAAGGAGTAGTACACAGCGTTGTACGAGATCTTCAGTTTCTTAGCAATTTCTCGCATGGTATAGCCTTCATTTCTCAGAACAAGAATAAACTGACGAGTTTCAGAAGAAAGTTCTTTGTTTCTGGCCATTTTGATCCTGTAATCAAACCCACAATTGCTGATGCTCCAGATACTCAACTAGTCTCAAGAAGGCCAGTTTTATTGCTTCTTTAATCAGCACAACAGTTTTCAGCTGTGCTAACATAATTGCAAAAGGGTTTTCTAATGATCAATTAGCCTTTTAAAATGATAAACTTGGATTAGCAAACACAACATGCCATTGGAACACAGGACTGATTGTTGCTGATAATGGGCTTCTGTACGCCTATGTAGATATTCCATAAAAAATCAGCAGTTTCCAGCTACAATAGCCATTTACAACATTAACAATGTCTACACTGTATTTCTGATCAATTTGATGTTATTTTAATGGACAAAAAAATTGCTTTTCTCTCTACAACAAGGACATTTCTAAGTCACCCCAAACTTTTGAACGGTAGTGTACATACAGTGGATATTGCACTTATTCTAATGAAGAGTAGTGTGCATAAAATAAGTATTCAGCAGATATGATTATGCATGTTTATCTAGTATGAATCAGACCACTTGTGATTTCAATGATGAGGCACTTCGAAACATCAAAATAATAAAGAATCAAATTCAGAGACGGAAATCCTCTTAAGTACTAAAAACATTTTGGCAACAATTGAAGTAATAAATAACCAGACTAAAATAAAAAAAGAACAAAATCTTCTGATGGAATTGCTACTACTCAGAATATTGGATTTTGATAGGAATCAACTGGATATTTAACCATGATCATAAGTCTTAAATCCGCCCAAAGTACCTCTCATGTTTTACACTGATTCTTCAAATGACTGCAGCCTAATGTGTAATCCCAAATGTAATATTTCGATGGATGGGCATTAAGAAGTGAATGGCCTGTGTTGAACTGGAAGCCTTAACTAAAATGACAGATTAATAGAAGCATTTTGAAAAAAGTGTCTGGCTCTTTGCATGATACTGTACTTGTTTCTATGTACCTACAGATTAATTCTAGCATTTCTCAGAAGCTCACTTAAAATACAGTTTCGAGGAACATTCATGCAAGCAACCCTTTACAAGTTTAATGAAATATCAAACTGAAGTTCATTAGAATATTGTCAAAAGCTATTACCTTTGTTGCACTCTTTGCTTGCATGGGTAATGAAGGTTATAAAGCATGTTAAGAATGATACTGCAACATTCTTGAAGGTGTCATAAGATTGTTATGAATGTACAGTACCAGTCAAAAATTTGGACACACCTACTCATTCAAGTTTGTTTTTAATTTTTACTACATTATAGAATAATAGTGAAGACATCACAACTATGAAATAGCACATATGGAATCATGTAGTAACCAATAAAGTGTTAAACAAATTCAAAACAGATTCTTCAAATTGTCACCTTTAGCCTTGATGACAGCTTTGCACACTCTTGGCATTCTCTCAACCAGCTTCACCTGGAATGCTTTTCCAACAGTCTTGAAGGAGTTCCCACATATGCTGAGCACTTGTTTGTTGCTTTTCCTTCACTCTGCCGTCCGACTCATCCCAAACCATCTCAATTGGGTTGAGGTCAGGGGATTGTGGAGGCCAGATCATCTGATGCAGCACTCCATCACTCTGCTTCTTGGTCACAGCCTGGAGGTGTGTTTGGTTATTGTCCTGTTGAAAATCAAATGATAGTCCCACTAAGCCCAAACCAGATGGGATGGCCTATCGCCGCAGAATGCTGTGGTAGCCATGCTGATTAAGTGTGCCTTGAATTCTAAATAAATCACAGACAGTGTCACCAGCAAAGCACCCCCAAACCATAACACCTCCTCCTCCATGCTTTACGGTGGGAACTACACATGTGGAGATCATCCGTTCACCCACAGCGCATCTCACAAAGACACAGTGGTTGGAACCAAAAATCTCCAATTTGGACTCCATTTGGACCCAAGGACACATTTCCACCAGTCTAATGTCCATTGCTCGTGTTTCTTGGCCCAATCAGGTCTCTTCTTCTTATTGGTGTCCTTTAGTAGTGGTTTCTTTGCAGCAATTCGACCATGAAGGCCTGATTCACACAGTCCCCTCTGAACAGTTGATGTTGAGATGTGTCTGTTACTTGAACTCTGTGAAGCATTTATTTGGGCTGCAATTTCTGAGGCTGATAACTCTAATGAACTTATCCACTGCAGCAGAGGTAACTCTGGGTCTTCCATTCCTGTGGCGGTCCTCATGAGAGCCAGTTTCATCATAGCGCTTGATGGTTTTTGCAACTGCACTTGAAGAAACTTTCAAAGTTCTTGAAATGTTCCGTATTGACTGACCTTCATGTCTTAAAGTAATGATGGACTGTCATTTCTCTTTGCTTATTTGAGCTGTTTTTGCCATAATATGGACTTGGTCTTTTACCAAATAGGACTATATTCTGTATACCCCCCCTACCTTTTCACAACACAACTGATTGGCTCAAACGCATTAAGAAGGAAAGAAATTCCACAAATTAACTTTTAACAAGGCACCCCTGTTAATTGAAATGCATTCCAGGTGACTACCTCATGAAGCTGGTTGAGAGAATGCCAAGTGTGCAAAGCTGTCATCAAGGCAAACGGTGGCTATTTGAATAATATAAAATATATTTTGATTTGTTTAACACTTATTTGGTTACTACATGATTCCATATGTGTTATTTCATAGTTTTGATGTCTTCACTATTATTCTACAATGTAAAAAATTGAAAAATAAAGAAAAACCCTTGAATGAGTAGGTATGTCCAAACTTTTGACTGATAGTGTATATGTGAATGTCTATGTATTAATCTAAGTGTTCCTGTTATGTGCCTCCTCCCAGACTTTCCACGACCAGATAAGAAGGATATAAGGTGTCCTACCCCTGGTTGTGACGGCACTGGCCATGTCACTGGTCTGTACCCCCACCACAGGAGTCTGTCTGGCTGTCCCCACAAAGTCAGAGTCCCCCCAGAGAGTAAGTCACTCCGACATACACATACATGTATGTACATCAGGCATTCTTGAAAGTCAGCACAAAACCAATTTACAGTGGGGAAACAAAGTATTTAGTCAGCCACCAATTGTGCAAGTTCTCCCACTTAAAAAGATGAGAGGCCTGTAATTTTCATCATAGGTACACGTCAACTATGACAGACAAAATGAGATTTTTTTTCCCCAGATAATCACATTGTAGGATTTTTAATGAATTTATTTGCAAATTATGGTGGAAAATAAGTATTTGGTCAAAAACAAAAGTTTCTCAATACTTTGTTATATACCCTTTGTTGGCAATGACACAGGTCAAACGTTTTCTGTAAGTCTTCACAAGGTTTTCACACACTGTTGCTGGTATTTTGGCCCATTCCTCTATGCAGATCTCCTCTAGAGCAGTGATGTTTTGGGGCTGTCGCTGGGCAACACGGACTTTCAACTCCCTCCAAAGATTTTCTATGGGGTTGAGATCTAGAGACTGGCTAGGCCACTCCAGGACATTGAAATGCTTCTTACGAATCCACTCCTTCGTTGCCCGGGCGGTGTGTTTGGGATCATTGTCATGCTGAAAGACCCAGCCACGTTTCATCTTCAATGCCCTTGCTGATGGAAGGAGGTTTTCACTCAAAATCTCACAATACATGGCCCCATTCATTCTTTCCTTTACACGGATCAGTCGTCCTGGTCCCTTTGCAGAAAAACAGCCCCAAAGCATGATGTTTCCACCCCCATGCTTCACAGTAGGTATGGTGTTCTTTGGATGCAACTCAGCATTCTTTGTCCTCCAAACACGACGAGTTGAGTTTTTACCAAAAAGTTATATTTTGGTTTCATCTGACCATATGACATTCTCCCAATCCTCTTCTGGATCATCCAAATGCACTCTAGCAAACTTCAGACGGGCCTGGACATGTACTGGCTTAAGCAGGGGGACACGTCTGGCACTGCAGGATTTGAGTTCCTGGCGGCGTAGTGTGTTACTGATGGTAGGCTTTGTTACTTTGGTCCCAGCTCTCTGCAGGTCATTCACTAGGTCCCCCCGTGTGGTTCTGGGATTTTTGCTCACCGTTCTTGTGATCATTTTGACCCCACGGGGTGAGATCTTGCGTGGAGCCCCAGATCGAGGGAGATTATCAGTGGTCTTGTATGTCTTCCATTTCCTAATAATTGCTCCCACAGTTGATTTCTTCAAACCAAGCTGCTTACCTATTGCAGATTCAGTCTTCCCAGCCTGGTGCAGGTCTACAATTTTGTTTCTGGTGTCCTTTGACAGCTCTTTGGTCTTGGCCATAGTGGAGTTTGGAGTGTGACTGTTTGAGGTTGTGGACAGGTGTCTTTTATACTGATAACAAGTTCAAACAGGTGCCATTAATACAGGTAACGAGTGGAGGACAGAGGAGCCTCTTAAAGAAGAAGTTACAGGTCTGTGAGAGCCAGAAATCTTGCTTGTTTGTAGGTGACCAAATACTTATTTTCCACCATAATTTGCCAATAAATTCATTAAAAATCCTACAATGTGATTTTCTGGAGAAAAAAAATCTAATTTTGTCTGTCATAGTTGACGTGTACCTATGATGAAAATTACAGGCCTCTCTCATCTTTTTAAGTGGGAGAACTTGCACAATTGGTGGCTGACTAAATACTTTTTTCCCCACTGTATCTCCACTTACATCTACATGTACATACAGGTGTAGGATATTAATTTGAACACTATTTTGTTGCTGAGAACTTTCCTGCACAGCAGTAAATGGAGATGAGCTTCGTGATGTACATAAATTCACTGAAAACCCACACGGTTATATTAACAATATTGTACTTTTCCTGTAGCCTACTTTTGGCCAGCTAATAGCCTAACCACCAATCAAGCAACATTATGCACTAAATGTTCACATCATGTTGCTGCAAGATTATTTTTCTCTGACCATATAGGTCAAATTAAGAACCTACATATGTACAGTATAGAATAGAAAGTGTTGTTATTTGACTTAAATAAGCACTGATGTTTAAATAAAACCTTCAAAGTTATCAAATAGTTACAGAAACTGATTGAGGGGCATTCATTCTACATGTATAGAATCATGAAATCGAAAAATATTATTTGAATCCACAAGTGAGACTTGTTGTCACCTACAGTTTTCTTGGAATTTCTGAATATTGAAAAGGTTTTTTATTGGCTATGGTTTAGTCATTTCAATGTAACATAACAAGCATCCAACATTAAACAGTAATGTTACAAAAGGAACAGAAAAAGTAATTAACTTTTTTTCAATATGAAAGCATGTGCTCTTAGACCAGAAGCAGTGTTTGCAAATCAAAGGGGTTGCTAACGCTGTATTCAAAAATAAATAGACAACTCCTGCAAACTAATTGGAAAATATGTACAGAAGAGAAAAGTTCCCAAGGACACAGAGTGGAACTCCAACTCTAGCTAGGTTTCCGTCCAATTGGCGACAGATTTTCATGCCACCAGAGATGTTTCCATCAAATTGAATTGTTGTGGAATAAAGGCTGTGCGTGATGACGTTGTGCTTTTTGTTATATTTTTATTGCCACTAAGGTATTTACATTATGCGACCAACACACAGTGCACTGACAATGTGAACAGTGTTAGTTAGATATGCTTGTATCTCTAATTGTATGACTTTTCTAAGGATCTGTGTACTATTGGTTTCTCTCTGATGTCAGTACGAAGAATGTGTGAATTGAATTGAATTATCTATAAATTAACAAGCAGACTGTATGCCTATAGTTTTCAACTTGATCACTGTGGATACATTATTATTTTCCTGTCTTTTCATTTTGTGCTCTGTTAATTGTGTTAACTCTTGATACTCCAATGAACTCAGTCACCACTGATACAGTATATTCATCACCACTGTTAAAGTATATTCATCACCACTGATACAGTATATTCATCACCACTGATACATTATATTCATCACCACTGATAAAGTATATTCATCACCACTGATACAGTATATTCATCACCACTGATACAGTATATTCATCACCACTGACACAGTATATTCATCACCACTGATAAAGTATATTCATCACCACTGATACAGTATATTCATCACCACTGACACAGTATATTCATCACCACTGATAAAGTATATTCATCACCACTGATACAGTATATTCATCACCACTGATACAGTATATTCATCACCACTGATACAGTATATTCATCACCACTGATACAGTATATTCATCACCACTGATACAGTATATTCATCACCACTGTCCCTCTCCTGTCTGTCTGTCTGTCTGTCCCCAGTCCTGGCCATGCATGAAAACGTCCTCAAGTGTCCTACTCCCGGGTGCACAGGAAGGGGCCATGTAAACAGCAACCGTAGCACCCACCGGAGGTACATCCTGCAGGACTAACCCATTAAACATTACATACTGTACATAGACAGGTTCAATGTCAGACTAATGTGTTTGATTTCCTCCTATTCCTCCTTCTCCTCCCCCAGTCTCTCAGGCTGCCCCATTGCTGCTGCAGTGAAAGTCTCCAAACCTCAAGAGGAGAGCCCCAAATGCAGACAAGCACCTGAACGATTGTCCAGGTAAAATCCCATGAGAGGACAGAGAATGCCTTATAGCTGTAATAATGCAATATTGTCATTTTGACTGTTGACAATTATTGACGTGTATGTACGCATACATTATGATGACAGTAAACCATTGAGACATTGAAAATTATACTATGAAACGAATTGATTGAAGTTCTGAGAGAGCAGTATGTCAATTGCAATATCACATAAAATCAGGAGATATTTTGGTTAACATTTACAGTCTCATATCCAGTTTATTAATTCATTGTATTGTAAAAGGAATTACAATATATAGCCTATCAAAGCTTCACAGATATGGTTTCTCAGTATCACTTGTTCTTAAGCAATGGTTTAAGGTCCCATGAGATTCTCTCTATTAGGGATACAGACATCAGAACTCTGTGTTCCCTGTAGACAAATCACAGGCAGACTGCCAACCCATACTAAATTAATTAGTTGGGTAACATGCCTGTGTGTGCGTCTACAATACAGATCAGATCCCACATCCAGGAGGAGGACATTGATATTATTATATTATTCAAACTACACTGTTTCTATTACTTCACAACCCCCTCGTATGGAAATAATCCACACTATAATGTCTATTACTTCCACAATCACCACCACCTCTTCCACAGCCCATGCATAATGTGCATTCATGTGTCAATATCATATCCTATGCATTTTATTTGACACCGTAGCCACTTTCCTGCCCACTTGTGTGCATGTGTCAATTTCCTGGATCCTTACATGCGTTTTATTTGACACATACAGTAGCCACTTTCCTCATCAAATCCAACAACAACACCTCGTCTTCTTGGATTCTTCTCCAACCAGACCTCTCGGCCCCCTCATGAAGAAGTTGGAGTTAAATCAGTACAACTACAGGTTCGTCCACCACCATCCTGTCACCGCCGCCTTGCAAGCCAACCTCACCAAGGACATGGACAAGTACAGCAAGATCCGCTTTGATTACGCCAGCTTTGATGCACAGGTCTTCGGCAAACAACCTCTGATGGCACCCAACCAGGACCAAGAAATCTCTTCTTCACACTTCCCTGACTGTGAGTTTCGCACATTTGATTTGATTCAAAGGGGGGCGGAGGGAGATTGGCTGTACCATAACAGCGTGTCAAGCCACATTAAAGGGATTTAATCTGCAAGCGTTGCTCATCTTATGCCACAAATGTGCAGCTCAGTAGGACACTATGTATGTACATGATCAGACAACAACCAAACTAAGAGTATGCAACACACTCACAAGGTTCCTTTAAACAAGACAATCATGCTTGTTTAATATATATATATTTTTTTTTATCAACACAGACCTTTTCTATTCAAGCACAGACTGATCCCACTGCAACCACACTGTAAAAATAAACCTGCTGATTACATGTACCATACAGTATGATATAATGTAGGGGTTATAATCATGTGTTCCTAGATCTCTGTGTAAGTTGTATCTGTGTTCTGTTATCCAGCAGCTCTACAGTACGCTGGCTTTCTGGGCGCCCCCGGCAACCGCCTGCCCACGCCTGGCCCTGGACGCCACAGCCCACCCAGCCATTACAAACCTGGAGGTGAGGGGCTCCAAGCCACCACCACCGCCATCCTCAACCTCTCCACCCGCTACCGAAGCAACATGGAGGCCATCTCCATCTCGGGTCGGCCCCTGGCATCCTCCACAAAGGTCATCAAATTAGACCAGGTATTTCATGTGGTCATTTTAAAGCAACTCTGATTTGGGTATAAAAAGGGAGAAACATAAAAAGGACAGTTTTTAGCAAAGGAAACGTTGTCTCTGGTAGCGGCGAAACAAGAGGTCCCTCTCCGTAAAGCATTAATGTACACAACATCACATCAAAAGAAGAAAATACAACAAACCTTCTTTCTCAATTACAATTAGACTCATGTGGTCATGCATTTCATTTCTACTTTTATGGTAATAGACAAAGAAAATATTATATTTAAAAAAAAAAGGATAACTGTATAAAAGTGTATCTTGCATGCTGCAGATGGCGGAATATATTTTGTTTAGGAATATATTATCCAGGATAAGCTGTGCCTCTATCAGATGGCCTATACAACTAGTTCAGTGGATTAAACCAATCAGCTGAAGGACTCATTAGCTGAAATATTTTATTCACACAAAACCAAAATCTCCCCGATGTATTAAATGTGCACCAGTTTAGTTTAAAACTTGACCCCTTTGTGCACATCCTATGTAATCTCTAGTGGGAAAACCCCCAATTGCCCTGTCCACTACACGGAAAACCATGATCCTCTCAACTGAACTGAAACATGGCCTTCCTATGCATTAAGTTTAACCGCATGACAACAAATGTCTCAAAACCCAAACAAGGCCTTGCTACAGTATGTAATTAATGTCAGAATATTGATAGATAGATGATTCAAGGTTTCCAACACCTACACAGCACAGAACCCAGCTTGGTGAGCTGATAATGTGGCCCTGTACCAGGTACCAACCCACTGAATGAATAAAACAGTGTTAACAAGTGAATCATCTGTCCTCTTCCGCAGAGGACTTATGTACCATACACTGTATGGGGCCATGCAACTCATATGTGTTTGTAGCTCTGTAGGCTACCAGTAATGCAAAGGCAAAAAAAGCATGTCACCACACGTCTACACACGTCACCATCACACACATAATTCAAATGGATAGCCACACATGCAATGGCCATGAAAATTATACCCATTCATTCATTTCAAAGGCTGTCTTTTGTTTAAAACAAAAATGGAATATAGGTTTAATGGGACATATGCGTTGAATAATTGGTTTTGTTTGTAAGCCAAATTTCAGTAAAACTTTTAATGCTATAAAACCTATAAAGCTACAAGCACACATAGCGTTTCACATAGCGTTTCACATAGCACAGAATGAGTAACACATCTGTCAGTGAGAACTTATGCTACATTAAGCTTTTACATTTTTGTTTTAATGGTGATGACCTAAAACCAGCACCCGCAGCTGCCATCTTGGTTTTGTGTCCTAGAAAACAGACCGATGACACAGCTGTCACTGACAAACTATACACCAAGGAGCGATTATTATTTTGTTCAACAGAATTAATGCTGGCTTAACACCATACTTTACCCTGGTGTTAGATAATCATGGCATGTCTTATTTTCATGTAAATGTATATTTGAGGGGCAATTCAAGTTATTTCTCACAGGAATTATACACGTTGTCATTTTCAGAAAGGTATACCGTTAAAGTATTGCATTAGATTAAAAGGGCATATCATGGTGATGTATTCATTTCAATCTTTACCACTTCATACAGTAACTCTCATTTCTCATTCCAATATAGACTGACATCACAGTCTCCTTTTTTGTAAACTGTTGACTATTTAATAAAAGTGACTCCATTGTAACCTCATGACAATAACTGAGTCTGACTTGTGAATTTCTTCTCCTTTAGGACATGCCCATAGAAGTGGATGAGAACGGCACTCTGGACCTGAGTATGAAGAAGAGTCGGGAGGTGAAAGCCCCACCCCAGGTGCCTTTGGGAGACGCTGGCCAGTTCCCTCCTGAGTCCACTCTGTCCCAGCAGGCCAGCAGTGTGCACATCAGCCCTGCCTTCTACCAGGCCCTGTGCGAGAGAGACACCTGGGACACCCCTCTCAACTTCAGCAAAGCACAACAACAAATGATGCATGACAGAGAGGTAAAAATCACAACTTGGCTGTTCCTCCTTTTAAATACACAATAAATACTGTACAAGATACCTATGAAACAGAAGAAGAGAGCTTGTTTTGCAAAACAAGAGAAAGTATAGCTAATTGTTCAACATATTCATGAGACTACCAACAGACCCCCGGTCTATAAGGGTGATATGGGCATACAGTGTATAGTAATAGATAATCGTGTACTCTGTGTATGTTCCTAATAAAGCTCTTTTTAAAGAGCATGTTCTTCACAGCTGGTATTCCTGGTTGTTGTCGATTTAAAGGCCATGACATTTGTCCTGTTATTAATTCACCGAAGACAACATCTGGTGCTGAACACAGAATCTTTGAGAAAGTAAATCCATAAATACCGTCCATGTGGATTATATGTGACTTTAAATGGATGTATGGTTTACTGTAAGTATCCTTAAGCGTAATCACTCAGACTTACCCCCCAACTCCTAGGCTTGTTTTTAAGAGTATTAAGTGGGGTGTTTTCATTGATAATTCACTTTTAGATCATGTTCAAGACTCAAGACTGAGACAGGAAGTCCGGTGGTTAAGGAGATTTTTAAGGACACATTATTAAGACTGCATCTGAAATGGCACCCTATTCCATATGTAATGCACTACTTTTAACCAGGATGCATAGGGCTCTGGTCAAAAGTAGTCCACTATATAGTGAAAAGGGTCCATTTCAAATGTACCTATGTCTCTCAGCAGGAGGATTTTGACGACGCTTCTCTGGAGGACCAGAGCTACTCCGGAGACGCAAGCATGTTCAGCCCCAAGACCAGTATGCTCTTAAGAGACTCTAAGAAAGAGCTGATGAGGTATATCATGTTTAACATTGGGTCTGATCATTATAGAGGTCCAGTGAGGGGAGAAATTGACATCTTGAGGCTTCTTTGCTCAGTCATCCGTGTATCATGTGCATTTCCCTCTCAAAAGGTCAGCTGACAGATGGTCAGTATTAATAACAAAAGTGTAACTCCAGACCAGACCTGTTTAAATAGGGCATTATATTATAAGTGGGGTGAATGAATACACGCTCAGTGAAATGCACTGGACATGATCTATCCTGTTATTAGCTCTTATATTGTTACCTATTATATATTACATATCGTTGTGACTGGTATGTCTGCAGGTTCATGTGAAGAATGTATCTTGTTAAAAGTGAGTTTTTACATGTCCGTATGTCCTCAACCACTCTTGACTTTGTAGTTAGACTCTGCATGTTCTATTGAGTTATGCTCTGGAGTTTGTATCCACTCTATGGTAAGGTATGATTGAGTAGTTTACAGAAAAAAATTAGAACTGCCAAGTGATTTACGAACAACTTCTGCCACACCAAATAAACATCTAAATTACTAAATTTCCTGCTGTACTAACTTCCGCTTCCACTAATGCAATTCAAGGTCATATTAAAAAGGTTAATACACTGTATCAGAAGTCCATGTATTGTAGAGTATGGTCTAACTAAGTGCTGTGTTCTCTGCAGCTGTCCTACCCCCGGCTGTGACGGTAGTGGCCATGTTACAGGAAATTATGCATCACATCGAAGGTAATTAGACACTGGTTAACACCAGCTAGTAAATACTGTACGGCCTGGTTCAGAGGAACTATGTCGACTGTTTCATGTTGATCAGTATTATATACTGCTGAAAATGAAAGGGAAAAGTCATTTTTTTTACATTCAAATAGCATTGTAATAACTCTCAACTGTGGATCCTCTGTCTGCAGTGTATCTGGGTGCCCCCTGGCTGACAAGACTCTCAAATCACTGATGGCAGCCAACTCTCAGGAACTAAAGTACGTGTTGTCCTGTCAGTCATCATTTTACCACTGTTTATAGACATATCATCATTCACCTGTTTGGGTTCACTGATTCAACTTTGTGCTGTTTTATTGGTTTACATTATACATGCCACCTGGTCTCATGCCGTTTTAGTCATACATTGACTATATTGAATTTGGACTTTTCTCCACTTCATGTCATCAGGCTGTATATACATTTACATTATGCAATGTACTGGGTATCTACTGACCTCATACGTTTTTTTTCTTTCATTCATGCATTTAAATATGATATCATTGTCCAAGATAACGTGGCACTGAGTTTCACCTGTTCTGTCGCTCTCTCCACCTGCAGGTGCCCAACACCTAGTTGTGATGGATCTGGACATGTGACAGGGAATTATTCTTCACACAGAAGGTAGTCTAGACTGGATCACACAAATAACTGAGTAGATGAATAGGGATGTGTTTGAATCTCATTGTCTATGTATTTATTTTGTATTAGTTTAATAATTTTAGACAATTTATAAACTGCTATATATCTAAGAAGATACAATTCTTAGAACTGATTGATTCTTGTTGTTGCTTAGTGTAGTTTCCAATGACAGGCTATGTGAGAACATCATCTTATCACTGATGAAAGAGTTTGCTTTATTTTAGCCCTAAAGTAGTGTTCATTATTGTTAAACCGTATTGTCTCTAAACATTTGTAGTTTGTCAGGATGTCCACGTGCCAGAAAGGGAGGCTTGAAGCTCACACCAAACAGAGATGAAAAAGAAGAGCAAGAAATAAAGTACGAGATGATTCTTATTGTTCTCATTATGATTTCTGTTTCATATTTGTTGTTTTAGTTTTTAAACTTTTCTGGTTTTTCACTGGCATGCATGCCTACGTGAATGAAAATACTTGTATAATGTTGTAAAGAGGTCATTATACCAGAAAAAAATTGGAAATAGTTTTCCTCTTCATAGCATTAGTAAATTATCTTTCAAGGATTAACAACATGTGTTAAATACATGTGTCAAACGTTGTAATCTTTTTAGTTGTCTTAATAGAATATCTGGCTTATCACGCTCTGGTGTGCATTGTGTTCTTGTATTGTTTATTTAAGGTCCCCCATACTACGGGGTGTGATCAAAGCTTTGATTCACTGATGCAAAGCTTAATTGTTCTAGATGCAGTTGTCTTTGTAAAAAGCAGTGGTGTAAAGTACTTAAGTAAAAATACTTTAAAGTACTACTTAGTAGTTTTTTGGGGTATCTGAACTTTACTTTACTATTAATATTTTTGACAACTTTTACTTTTACTTCACTACATTCCTAAAGAAAATATTGTACTTTTTACTCCATACATTTTCCCTGACACCCAAAAGAACTCGTTACATTTTGAGTGTTGGAGTGTGCCCCTGGCTATCCATACGTTTTAAAAACAAGAAAATGATGCCGTCTGCTTTGCTTAATATAAGGAATTTTAAATGATTTATGCTTTTACTTTTGATCCTTAAGTATATTTTAGCAATTACATTTACTTTTGATACTGGAGTATATTTAAAACCAAATACTTTTAGACTTTTACTCAAGTAGTATTTTATTGGGATACTTTCACTTTTACTTGAGTAACTTTCTATTAAGGTATCTATAGTTTTACTCAAGTATGACAATTGGGTACTTTTTCCACCACTGGTAAAAAGTATTATTGGGGAGGAAATGATGTAATTGATTACTGCTTAAATCCAAGGTCAGATGTATGAGACCTTGTTTACTTCTACATCTGGACAGATTGACCCTTCTTTTGAAAAACTAATGCAGGGCCAAAGGGTTAGGAGTTAGACTGGAATATATCTCATACACAAGAGAGGGTGGGGGAGTAAAACTACATGTAGTGCATCTGTAATGTTATTAGATTATTGTAAATTGTAGGCCATATGGCATGATTCCATTGTCCCGAATTTTGGGTTCCGTGTTGAACCATCTGTGGAAAGGGTTCTACATGGAACTCAAAAGGGTTCTTCTTGGAACCAAAAGGGTTCTTCTTGGAACCAAAAAGTGTTATTCAAAGGGTTCTCCTATGTGGACAGCCAAAGAACCCTTTTAGGTTCTAGATAGCATTTTTTCCCCCCTAAGAGTGTACATCTACCTGTAGTGTATGGATGAATGTAAGTAATGTGGTTGAGGTTGTTTTGTCCTCTAAGTGCTACTGGTACTCTACTGAACAACAAAGTGCAACAATCTTTGTTACAGTAGCACTCTGTTCTGTTTGTACACTAGCTTTGTGTGCCATTTGTACCATCTCAGCCTGCCTTTCACCTTTGCCAGTAAGGGAAGGGGTCGGCAACCCTCAAAATTACATTCTTTCACAAGAGGGGATACATGACAATTATGTGTAATTCATGTCACTCCATTACTGACCTGTAAAAAACAGAGCTGGGAAATGTAATTACCCTTATAACTCTTAATAATATTCAACAAGACTTGTGCTTATGTTTTTTTATGTAGGCTATATCAATCTGAATGTGTTAATTATTCCAAAGTTTTTGTGGATTAGCAACTTGGCTAATGCGATTATTTGAGCCAGTTTTGTTGACTACATTTTTAATCAGCATTTTACTGGATTAATCAACATAATGGTTTGACGAATCTTCCGGTCTAGTTAGTGAGGGATGTTTATGAACTGTGAAAATGATTTGTTTGAGTATGTACGCATTTATTATGTGTGGTTTAAGAGGTTAAGTAAAGTTGTCTCAACTCAGTTGACAGCATTTTGATCTACTTACATTTCCATTATACAGAAACTGTAAAAAAGCAATAGATTTACATATCTCAGATCATACAGTTTTTACTACCTCTGTCATATCAAATGGCTTGAACTGCAAAACTATTCTGAGGAAAAAACAGCTTACTGGTGACAATCTTTCTTCTCTGCCTGATCTGAATGAGAATAGGCATCTCTCACAGGGGCACTCTGTACATTGTCAACAGTCTGTGTTACAACATGACTCCCTCCACTACAGTAGCGGTACAAGGGGAGGACACCAGATAGTAATAAACCTGACTCCTGGGGTGTATTCAGTAATGTTAAACGTTCTGAATGTTGCAGACAGAAATATAATGAATAGACCTGACATGATTCCTTATTCTATTTGACAGATAATCATATATGTTCTATACAATACATTTCTATCTGAACGTTTTGTAATGTATCACCCTCCTTAACAAACCCCTTGTTTGTCTCCCTACTAGGTGTCCAGTGATGGGTTGTGATGGCCAGGGCCACACATCAGGGAAGTACACATCTCACCGCAGTACAGGGAGCTGCCCCCTCGCTGCCAAGAGGCAGAAAGAGTCATCCATCAATGGCCTCCCCTTCCCCTGGAATAAAGCCTGCAAACAGGAACTGCCCCACTGTCCCCTGCCCGGTTGCAATGGCCTTGGACACGCCAATAACGTGTTTGTCACCCATAGAAGGTTAGCCTGCATTCCCTCCATTCATTTTGTCCCATACAATACTAATTAAACTGTTTTGTTTTGTTTCTTTCTAACTGAAGTTTCTAATGTCTTTCTCATTATTTGTCATTTTCTTTCTAAATAGTTTGTCTGGATGCCCTCTTAATGCTCAGAGTATTAAGAAGAAGATGACAGGAGAGGAGATGATGACTATTCAACTTGAAGCCAGCAGTGGTAAGCCATTATAATATGTTTTACAAACATGTTCTGTTTGTGGTGGTGGACAGTACATGTATGCTTTGACAGGGTAATGTATTTTATTGAAATATTAATATCAGTACCATCAAAGTATGTTTAGTATTTTCTCTTTTCATACAGGAGTCGACAACAACGATGATATGCAACACTTGGATCATGAAATCAAGGAACTTAACGAATCCAACCTGAAAATAGAAGCTGACATGATGCAACTGCAGACCCAAGTAACTATCCACAACTGTGAAGATATTATGTTTTTTAAAGGATTCATGCCCAGTTCAGTTTGACAAGTTTCCCTCTCCCCTGAAAGCAGATTTCGTCGATGGAATGTAACCTGAAGACAATTGAGGAGGAGAACAAGATGATTGAACAGCACAACGACAGCCTTCTGAAGGAGTTAGCTCGCCTCAGCCAAGCTCTCATCAACAGTCTCACAGACATCCAACTGCCTCAAATGGTACAGTAGGCCTCATACGAACCTCCTCACTTGCACATGTAGCTTTTTTATTTTACCATATGTACAGTCAGGTACAGAATTATTGACACCCATGATAAAGATAATTTAAAAAAACTGTATAAAATAAATAATACAAATACTGAGCTATATTGTATGCCAAAAAAATAGGGAAATTATATTATTTTACAATAATATAATTACTCAGAAAAATAATAATAATTTATTTTCTCAAAAAGAAAGTGGTCAAAATGATTGGCACCCCTGTTTTCAATACCTTTTAATGCCTCACCGTGCGAGGATAATGGCACTTTTCTAAGATGTTTAATGAGATTTGAGAACACATGGGGAGGGATCTTAGACCATTCCTCCATATCTTTCCAGATCCGAGATATCCTTCTACTGCACTTATGGACTGCTCTCTTCAATTCAAACCACAGTGTTTTCAGTGGGGTTCAAGTCCGGAGACTGAGATGGCCATTGCAAAATGTTGATTTTTGTGGTCAATTAACCGTTTCTTTGTGGATTTTGATGTGTGCTTGAAGCTATTGTCTTGCTGGAAGATCCACTTGCGGCCAAGTTTCAGCCTCCTGGCAGAGGCAACCAGGTTTTTGGCTAAAATTTCTGAAATCTGGCTTGCCTACTAGTTACTTAAACTACATACCGTGTACTAATCGTACTACATACTAATTAGAACGTACTGTTTAGTAAAAATGTATGCAGTAAGCAACAAATATCAACATATTACTCATTCATATTGATAAGGCGACATCTAATGCCCAATCGCCCTTGTTCCCCGCCATTCGTTCATTTTTGTAAAGTGCGTCCCCTATTCTGATTATCAGCTGTTGTCAAACACAGGTGGGTGTGAAAATACTATTCTCTTCCTCAATAGTGTACAGCGAATTCTACTAGATGAAAAGCCGAAATGAGTATGACATCCTGGCATTTAAAGCATACAACATCAAAATGTCACATACTATAAAACTGCCTATTTTCGCATACCCAAAATGCCTACTATTTAGAACGTAAGTATGAATATTCGGACACAGCCCTGGTACTGGGTAAAGTTGATTATGCCGTTGACCTTAACAAGGGCCCCAGGACCAGTGGAAAGCCCCATAACATCAAAGATTCACCACCATATTTTATAATAGGTTTGGGGGTATTTTCTGCTTATGTATCCTTATTTCAACGCCAAACCCATCACTGGTGTGCGGGGCCAAAGAGCTCTATTTTCATGTCATCCCACAATTTAAATGCCTGGAGTTTGCTAAATGCCATTGGCACTTGGATTGGAACCAGTGATATGGTCAGATGGCTTGAAAATAGAGCTCTTTGGCCACGCATCTCATCATCTCAGTCTCCGGACTTGAAACCCATTGAAAACCTGTGGTTTGAATTGAAGAGGGCAGTCAATAACCGCAGACAAAGGATATCAAGGATCTGGAAAGATTCTGTATGGAGGAATGGTCTAAGATCCCTCCAAATGTGTTCTCCAATATCATAAAACATTTTAGGAAAATGCTCAGTGCCATTATCCCCGCAAGGTGAGGTATTGAAAGGTATTGATAACAGGGGTGCCAATCATGTTGACCCCTATCTTTTTGAGAAAAACTAATATGACCTGTTAAACAACATCTCTTTATCTGAGCAATTGTATAAGTATAAAATAATATAATTTTAAAATGTTTTTGAGCATACAATATAGCTCAGTATTTGTATCTTTATCAAGGGTACCAATAATTCTGGGCCTGACTGTCTATCTATAGTGACATTAAATTATTATTGTCACAAGAAGCTTCAGTTTGTGAACTAATATTTGAAAATGTTTGTGTTTCAGGGGCCCATCAGCGAGCATAATTTCGAAGCCTATGTGAACACATTAACAGATATGTACAACAGCTCTGAGCATGACTACTCTCCCGAGTGTAAGGCTCTCTTGGATAATATCAAACAGGCTATGAAGGGAATCCACATTTAAGCTGTCGAGACATCAAGAGGAGGTATCTTTGAGTTGGGATAATGGCACTGGATGGCTGTGTGCAGTGCTGGCTTAGTTGCATGTATAAGACAAGGCTTTGGGAAATGTGTCGACATTTCACTGTTGAATACATTGCACTGAGACAATTACCAGCCAAAAATAATTTGTAATGTTTTTTAACGCTTCTGTATTCACTTGACATGTTTCTTCTGGTGAGATTTCTACCACCCTTGCACTTAATTATTTTGTATGGTTTGCTTGATTTAAATCTGTATTTGTTATTTTTTGTCTTTTTTATATTACTGTTATTTATCATCCTTATTCATCAATGTATTTATTTCCACACATTTCTTTTTATTTCTATCATTGTAAAATGCTAAATATTTGAAATCCTTTGACTAATTCTGCACATTGTAAATTACATTGAAGCACGTTCCAGTTTCAATCATAGCTCTCTTTCGCCATCTAGTGATGGTTTATTTATATGTCAGCTCATGTCATAATAAAATAATTTGGATCTCCCATGAAGGTAGAGAACTCTACCAGAATAATCCAGAATCAACATGTTTTTTAGTTGTTGCTTTTGCTTTCTATTTAATATTAAACACTGAATGTATGGTAAGACTAAAGATCTTAAATGCAATGTTACTGTACATCTCTTAATTCAACAATATGTTAAATTGACTGCAATTGGGGGAATTGCTTTCAGCTCTTAGCAAAATGCAACATGCTTTTATTTAATTCAATGAACTGAATGTCAGATTCAACTTTGTGTGTGTCACTAGAATAGAGCAACTGACAGCACTAAGAAAATTGAAAAATCCACTTTGACAAGATGTTCATTCTTTTTCTTAAATGATATAGATATTAAACTGCCTTCTGTGCACACACTGTGTGTGCATATATGTGCCTACATGTAAATGAATACATAAAATATACAGTACTCTGTTTTGTGGTAGGACAGTATTATGTGGCTGGTGTCTAATTTATTGTACAGTACACTTTTCAAAGGAGAAATGTTCTTAATGACTGTTTATATGCCATTTCAAATATTTAAGCATTGTCTCGGTAGCTGTAATCTCAAAGTCAGGTCTTGAAGTTTCACAGGTTAAGAAGTGTTAGTGCTTTTTTACTTTTGACTTATCTTCAGCATGGGAAAAGAGGAAGTGGTTACACCACCATACAAACATTTACTCTGGTTTAAGCTATTCTGACATCCTTTACATACATAAAATGTTAGCTAATGTATACTTAATGGTGGTCGGTGGCATTTTAGTTTCTGTATATGTCACATCAATTTTTTAAATTTCCCCCAAAAGCACTTGGTGGCGTAAATATCACTGCAGGTTCTTTAGGGCCAGATTCAATAAGCGTTTGCACCTTGGTAAATCAAGACCATATTGTCAATAATGTCAATAATGGACAACTGTCAATACAAATATTTTCAGTTCGTCACTATTATGAAGCAAAAAGAGACAAACAAACAATGATATTGCTAGTTCTTAACTGTTTATTTTCAATTGTTTATGTGTTATTTCTTTTTAAATTGTGTTGTGAATCAGTTGCACTTTTTTCTTTTGTATTTCAGTTTATTTCTATTGCCCTGGGGTTCCAGAAAAAGATTAAGCTTTCTTTGTTTGTGAGCATTGCTCTTGATGTCACAGGAAAATGCTATTATTTTGACGTTTGCATGGGTTGATAGTCTTATCAAGTTACAATAAATTGAGTTTGACTTGGCCTACTACACATTTCCTGAGGAGGAATTGGAAGAGCATATCTGCAAAACAAAGCCAAATTAAGGACACCTGTTGAGGAAAATACTTTATTTTATCCAAATACTCAACACATTCTAAAGAATTGTAATCTTTAAAAATGTAATCATTGACGGTTTGTTTAACTTAATAATTGTGTTAATTTATTTATAATTCGTAATATTGAATTCATATACCACACATTGTTTGCTCAGGAAGTTTTGTGAAGAATATTTATTTTTCCCTGTTAGTATTTGATGTTTTGTAATGTGAACTGGATTTTTGTGGAATGATATTAGTATGATGAAACTGTACTGGACTTTTGTTTTTCATTAAAATGTTGTTTTTTCAGTTCAAGTAGTTTGTAAATCAAAAGTTCCTATTACTTTTACTATTTCATAAGCAGATATGCGCTGTGTTGTACAGTTTGTGTATGGTAGAAATAAAACTTTTTAAATGGTTGTGTGATTCTCAGATGTAAAGTAGTACGTTGGCAATGCCTTACAGCACAAACAATGAGCTTCTTTGACTGAAATCTACTTCACACTGTATTATATAATCTCTCTCAAAATGCATTTGAATGAGATTCAACAACTGCTCCTTGGGCAGTCATTATCTAATGGAAATGGAGAAGAAAATATTGGATGGCTCAATATTGGTTAACCCAGAATTTCCATGTTGGTGCCTCCTTCTCATCCCCATCCTTTCACTGTAGCTTCATGAAGTCGATACCAGAGTATGACAAGTCTGTGCCACCTGGTGGCGGGTATCAATAAGACAAGACATCTCAGATGAGAAAGTAGGCCATCTGTGTAATACAGTTAAATAGGCCTATTCTTTGTGCATTGTTGACAATTTTGTTGCGGAGAACAGAGTATATTCATTGAAATCCATTCAATCAATTGACAATCCTCATAGAATTCTTTGTGTGTAATACAGTGTATTATGTTTATTCACAATGAAGTTACAGACTAGAGTGAGCAGGCCTTGCCAAGTAGCAAGACTACAACAGTGATAGTTCTCAAAGAGAAAAGCAGAGAACAGTAAGAATCAACCCATTTGAACTTGTCACCTTATGTTGAGGTTGCTTGCTAGCTTACATGACATCCAGATACAGTTAGCAGCTTAGCAGTTTACGTTTCAGTACACCTCATCAGAACCAAGTATAGGCCAGCTACAGGTAAATGCCAAAATAAAGGAAACACTTGAGTAAATGGGGGATACAAAGTATATTGAAAGCAGGTGCTTTCACACAGGTGTGGTTCCTGAGTTAATTAAGCAATTAACATCCCATCATGCTTAGGGTCATGTATAAAAATGCTGGGCAGGCCATTATTTTGGCTACCATGGCTATGCCCCTATAGGATGATAATGCCCTCATGCACAGGGCACGAGTGGTCACTGAATGGTTTGATGAGCATGAAAACGATGTAAACCATATGCCATGGCCGTCTCAGTCACCAGATCTCAACCCAATTGAACACTTATAGGAGATTCTGGAGCGGCGCCTGAGACAGCGTTTTCCACCACCTTCAACAAACACCAAATATTTCTTGTGGAAGAACGGTGTTGTATCCCTCCAATAGAGTTCGACACTTGTAGAATCATGGCTTGTGGTGGCCCAACAACCTATTAAGACATTTTATGTTGATCTTTCCTTTATTTTGGTAGTTACCTGTACATTATTGTCCCGTGTAGCTCAGTTGGTAGAGCATGGCGCTTGCAACGCCGGTGTTGTGGGTTCGATTCCCACGGGGGACCTGTATGAAAATATATGCACTCGCTACTGTAAGTCGCTCTACAGCCATGGTCAAACGTTTTGAGAATGACACAAGTATTGGTCTTCACAAAGTTTGCTGCTTCAGATATTTTTGTCAGATGTTACTATGGTATACTGAAGTATAATTACAAGCATTCCATAAGTGTCAAAGGCTTTTATTGATAATTACATTAAGTTTATGCAAGACCTCTGCAATCTGCCCTGGCATGCTGTCAATTAACTTCTGGGCCACATCCTGACTGATGGCAGCCCATTCTTGCATAATCAATGCTTGGAGTTTGTCAGAATTTGTGGGGTTTTGTTTGTCCACCCGCCTCTTGAGGATTGACCACAAGTTCTCAATGGGATTAAGGTCTGGGGAGTTTCCTGGCCATGGACACAAAATGTCGATGTTTTGATCCCCGAGCCATTAAGTTATCACTTTTGCCTTATGGCAAGGTGCTCCATCATGCTGGAAAAGGCATTGCTCGTCACCAAACTGTTCTTGGATGGTTGGGAGAAGTTGCTCTCGGAGGATGTGTTGGTACCATTCTTTATTCATGGCTGTGTTCTTAGGCAACATTGTGAGTGAGCCCACTCCCTTGGCTGAGAAGCAACCCCACACATGAATGGTAATGTGGGCACTCACTAACTGTAAGTCGCTCTGGATAAGAGCGTCTGCTAAATGACTAAAATGTAAAATGTAAATGTCTCAGGATGCTTTACTGTTGGCATGACACAGGACTGATGGTAGCGCTCACCTTGTCTTCTCCGGACAAGCTTTTTTCCGGATGCCCCAAACAATCGGAAAGGATTCATCAGAGAAAATGACTTTACCCCAGTCCTCAGCAGTCCAATCCCTGTACCTTTTGCAGAATATCAGTCTGTCCCTGATGTTTTTCCTGCAGAGAAGTGGCTTCCTCGCTGCCCTTCTTGACACCAGGCCATCCTCCAAAAGTATTCGCCTCACTGTGCGTGCAGATGCACTCACACCTGCCTGCTGTCATTCCTGAGCAAGCTCTGCACTGGTGGTGTCCCGATCCCGCAGCTGAATCAACTTTAGGAGATGGTCCTGGCGCTTGCTGGACTTTCTTGGGTGCCCTGAAGCCTTCTTCACAACAATTGAACCTCTCTCCTTGAAGTTCTTGATGATCCGATAAATGGTTGATATAGGTGCAATCTTACTAGCAGCAATATCCTTGCCTGTGAAGCCCTTTTTGTGCAAAGCAATGATGACGGCACATTATTCCTTGCAGGTAACCATGGTTAACAGAGGAAGAACAATGATTTCAAGCACCACCCTCTTTTTAAAGCTTCCAGTCTGTTATTGTAACTCAATCAGCATGACAGAGTGATCTTCAGCCTTGTCCTCGTCAACACTCTCACCTGTGTTAACGAGAGAAGCACTGACATGATGTCAGCTGGTCTTTTTGTGGCAGGGCTGAAATGCAGTGGAAATGTTTTTTGGGGATTAAGTTCATTTTCATGGCAAAGAGGGACTTTGCAATTAATTGCAAATTCATCTGATCATTCCTCATAACATTCTGGAGTATATGCAAATTGCCATCATAAAAACCGAGGCAGCAGACTTTGTGAAAATTAATATTTGTGTCATTCTCAAAACTTTTGACCACGACTGTAGATAAGAGCGTCTGCTAAAATGTAAATGTAATAAGGTATTATTACACCTTTGATGAGGAAGGAGAACAATGGACAAAAATGCATAGATGAAGAGAACAAGTCAAAGTGTCACGCCCTGGCTCTGGGAACTCTTAAATGTTGAGCCAGGGTGTGGATTTTCTATGTTTATTTTTCTATGTTTTTTGTTCTAGATCGTTTAGTTCTATGTTGGCCAGGGTGGTTCCCAATCAGAGGCAGCTGTAGCTCGTTGTCTCTGATTGGGGACCATACTTAGGCAGCTTGTTGGCACCAGTTAGTTTGTGGGATCTTGATCCGTAAAGGTTTGGTGTGTGTAACCTCAGGACTTCACGTATCGTTGGTTTGTTGTTTTGGTTTTGTTTGTGTGTTAAGTACTAATTAAAGATGTACACTTATCACGCTGCGCCTTGGTTCCACGAGTCATCAGTCAACGTTCGTGACAGAAGATCCCAGCTAAAGAGGACAAAGCAGCGTGTCCAGGAACAGACAGCCTGGACTTGGGAGGAGATCCTGGACGGGAAGGGATCCTGGACTTGGAAAGAGATTCAGGCCGGAATGGATCGCCGTCCTTGGGAGGAGACTGTGGAGGCGCGCTACAGAGAGGAGCAGCGGCAACGCAGAGGGTAACGGCCGAGGAGGAACCCCGATAGACAGCCCCAATATTTTTTTTTGGGGGGGCTAAAAGGGTGGTTGGCGGAGCCTAGAGTTTGAGCAGAGCCAACTCCCCGTACTCAGGCTAGGAAGCGTGAGACTGGGCAGGCGCCGTGTTATGCGGAGCCACGTACTGTGCCGCGAGTGTTCCAGCACAGTCCTGTACGTCCGGTGCTAGCACCACGCACGTGTCGTGCTAAGATGGGCATGCAGCCAGGACGGGGTGTGCCGGCTCAACGCTCGTGGCCTCCAGTACGCCTCCTCGGTCCTGTATGTCCTGCGCCAGTGCCACGTGCTGTGGCGCCAGTACGAGTGCACAGCCCTGTACGTCCTGTGCTGATGCCTCACACATATTGTGTGGAAATAGGCATTCAGCCAGGACGGGTTGTGTCAGCTCTCCGCTCCAGACCTCCAGTCCGCCTCCACAGTCCGGCCCGGCCTGTTCCGGCTCCCCGCACCAAGCCAGTGGTGCGTGTTCCCAGTCCAGCCCGGCCTGTTTCTGCTCCCCGCACCAAGCCAGTGGTGCGTGTTCCCAGTCCAGCCCGGCCTGTTCCTGTCCCTCGCACCAAGCCAGTGGTGCGCGTCGCCAGCCCGGTCCGGCCTGTTCCTGTCCCTCGCACCAAGCCAGTGGTGCGCGTCGCCAGCCCAGTCCGGCCTGTTCCTGTCCCTCGCACCAAGCCAGTGGTGCGCGTCGCCAGCCCGGTCCGGCCTGTTTCTGTCCCTCGCACCAAGCCAGTGGTGCGCGTCGCCAGCCCGGTCCGGCCTGTTCCTGTCCCTCGCACCAAGCCAGTGGTGCGCGTTGCCAGCCCGGTCCGGCCTGTTCCTGTCCCTCGCACCAAGACAGTGGTGCGCGTCGTCAGCCCGGTCCGGCCCGTTCCTGCTCCCCGCACCAAGCCAGTGGTGCACGTCGCCAGCCCGGTCCGGTCCGGCCCGTTCCTGTCCCTCGCACCAAGCCAGTGGTGCGCGTCGCCAGCCCGGTCCGGCCTGTTCCTGTCCCTCGCACCAAGACAGTGGTGCGCGTCGTCAGCCCGGTCCGGCCCGTTCCTGCTCCCCGCACCAAGCCAGTGGTGCGCGTCGTCAGCCCGGTCCGGCCCGTTCCTGCTCCCCGCACCAAGCCAGTGGTGCGCGTCGCCAGCCCGGTCCGGCCCGTTCCTGTCCCCCGCACCAAGCCAGTGGTGCGCGTCGTCAGCCCGGTCCGGCCCGTTCCTGCTCCCCGCACCAAGCCAGTGGTGCGCGTCGTCAGCCCGGTCTGGCCCGTTCCTGCTCCCCGCACCAAGGCAGTGGTGCGTGTGTCCAGTCCGGCACGGCCCGTGCCTGTTCCACCGGTGCCTGGTCCGGCACCGGTCAGCTGCTCCACTCCGGAGTCAGAGCAATCCGCTCCACCGGGGTCCGGTCCAACTCCAGGCAGCGGATCCACTCCGGAGCCAGAGCAATCCGCTCCACCGGTGTCCAGTCCAGCTCCGGCCAGCGGCTCCAGTCCAGAGCCGGTAAGGTCTGGTCCACCGTCGTCGGGTCCAGCTCCAGTCAGCGGGACCAGACCAGGGGCGCAACGGGGAGGTGGAGAAAAGGTGGTGGTCACGCCCGGAGCCGGATCCGCCTCCGAGGCGGAATGCCCACCCGGCCCCTACCCTCTTGTGTTTGTGTGGCGCGGTCGCAGTCCGCGCCTTTGGGGGGGGTACTGTCACGCCCTGGCTCTGGGAACTCTTAAATGTTGAGCCAGGGTGTGGATTTTCTATGTTTAGTTTTCTATGTTTTTTGTTCTAGATCGTTTAGTTCTATGTTGGCCAGGGTGGTTCCCAATCAGAGGCAGCTGTAGCTCGTTGTCTCTGATTGGGGACCATACTTAGGCAGCCTGTTGGCACCAGTTAGTTTGTGGGATCTTGATCCGTAAAGGTTTGGTGTGTGTAACCTCAGGACTTCACGTATCGTTGGTTTGTTGTTTTGGTTTTGTTCGTGTGTTAAGTACTAATTAAAGATGTACGCTTATCACGCTGCGCCTTGGTTCCACGAGTCATCAGTCAATGTTCGTGACACAAAGTCAAACCATGTGAAATGCAAAACAGTTTATTTTGTTAAAGAAAATGTATCAGTTCTGAATACTTTGTCACCAAAACAAATAGCCTTCGAGTGACACGCCTCCACCACCGCACCAGCCATTTGGTGGTGGAGGCAGTGTGGATTCCTGAGACGGTGTCTGTGCCGGTCGAGGAGACCAGAGGCAGGCTGTGAGGGTAGGCCGAGGAGATCAGAGGCTGGCTGATCAGAGCCGAGGCCGAGGAAATCAGAGCCGGGCTGTCAGGGTGGGCCGAGGGGGCCGAAGAGGTGGTCGCTCCCTGGAGGGTCCCTGGAAGGTCCATATGTGTCGCCTCCGGGTCCATAGATGACACATATCCTTCCGGCGCCGACATATCCCTCCACCTCAGCGGGAGGGAGTGTTTCAGAGGGGCAGGGGCTGCCTCCTGGATGGGCTTCCAGGTTGGCTGGCTGGTTGCCGAGGCGAGGGCGGCGTGGTATGATTGGACCTCCAGAAAAATCCTCCTTACATGCATCTCCTGCTGGCGTCTCGGGGTCACTGGGGTCAGAGGCATGTGGAGGGGGGACTGGTCCAGAGAGGGGCTGGTCTGGGTGGGTTTGGTAGCGTGGGTCTCTGCTGGCTGGGGAATAGTGCTAGTGTTGCTGGTGGTGGTGGGAGTCTTCTCCACAGGCCTGTTGGCAGGGGAGCTGTCCTTGGGTTTGGCTGTGTCTGTGTCTGCAGAGCTCGTAGTCTGAGTCTCCTCTCTCTCCTCCCCTGGTCTTGTCACTCAGCCTGAAACACAACTCTGTGTTTTGCTGCCCTCGCCCAACATAGTCACTCATGTTGCCCATGATCTTGCCGGTGATTTTCCCCATCTTGCCGTCGCCGGAGGCAGGGGGTATCTGGGCAGCCAGGTCGATGAGGTGGTCTCCAACATACCTGGTGACCAGATTGGGGAAGCCCCAGAGACGCTGGGTCTGCTTGCAGCGGACATGAGACTACAGCTTCTCCCGGATGTCCTGGGTGATGGAGGGGATCCTGGTCCTACCCTGCAGATACATCTGGATGGACGGCTTGGTTTGACCTTTAGAGAATAAATAATTACATATTTATATTTTTCTACAATGTTGATTTTTGGGGCAGTAACTCCCAGCACCACAAATGAGATAAGCTTGGGTTTACCTTTACCCTCCAACCCAGGACACTGACATGCAGACTGGGAGGGAGAGAGAGGGTTGTTGGCACGCTGTGGGCATAAGGCTGGAAGGCAGGTGGTTTTCCTGGCGATTCTACTCATCTCAGCCTGAGAAGTGGTGGAGTTGGTCCTGGTGGTGGAGGTTGGGGTGGACTGGGTGGGGTTGAAGTACTTTGAGGTGGAGGTCTGGATGAAGGTGGTGAGTGAAGTGGTGGTGTCTCTGCCCTTCAGTCTCACTGGCAGCAGCATCCTGATAATGGAGATCACCAACACGGCAATCCTCCAGCGTTTAAGGGGGGCCTTAGATTAGAATATATTACATTAGATTACCACCAAACCCAACAACTCATGACAAGGTGTGCGTCCAAAAGGGCACCCTATTCCCTATATAGCGCACTACTTTTGACCAAAGCCCTCCTTTATGGGGCCGGTAATTTGTACAGACCTTCTGTTGTACAGTGCCCTCCAGGTGTCGTTGGTGCCAGCGGTGCAGGACGGGAGGATCACCTTTCACACTGTTTTCTCACCATAGTAATCTTTCTCACCGTCATCGGAGTGTTGGAGTGGTCTACACGGTCGGAAGTGGGAGTCTTGGAGTGGACAGTGGAGTTGGAGCTGTCGACACTGTGTTTGCAGTCAGGTGAAGATGTGACATTAGAAGCATCCACAGAAACAGCCACAGAGTCCACTTTGTCCTCCATCTTGCCCGTTTTGTAATGACCAATAGCAGGCTGACGAGGGCAGTGCTGGTACTCCAGAGGCAGCGGAGAAGCAGAACGAGTCTTGTACCTCAAGGAGCTGGGGGAGGCGTTTCGGGAGGAGTAGCAGGAGGAAGTGCAGGAGGCGTGCATGGAGCCATAGTGTCTGTCATCACCCTTATCACCTCCTGGTAGCTGGAGACATGGCCTTGGCCTCGGTGTTGCTGGTGGGCTAGGACTAGCTGGTTGCCTGGAGCTACCAGGTGGACTACCCAATGGGTAGGGACTATCCAGACTACCGCCCAGGATCTTAAACTTGTCAGGCTGCAGCGGGTCATTTCTGTCGTTTGTTACAGTGTCTGCCACTAGATCTGGAGGACCTAGAAGATATATAGAAGAAGAGAATGTGCCCTCGAATGGTTTTAGTTCTAGAAGATGTTCCGGAGACGTCAGAGATGTAGCTACAGGAGGACCTCCCAGAGCAGAAGTCTGAGTCAGAACCAGAGCTGCAGGAGAGGTCAAAGTTCCCATCAGCGGTCAGGATGTCTATCTGTAGCTTCTTCATGCCCAACTGCCTCTCCAGGCGCTGGAGATATTTGTAATTGAGGCTGACACCCTCTGTGAACTTGTTTACCAGGTCTCTGCAAGAGAAAATGTATATTGTAGCACATTTCTTACAACAAATGCTGTTCAATGTACTTAACAAATAAAACAAATTACAATTGAGTAGCCTAAGAAGATAAGACTGGGGATCTGTCCCAAATGGCACCCTAATCAAAATTGGTGCAATATATGTGGAATAGGGTGCTATTTGGGTTTAAATTCTGAATTATTCAATGGTAATCAATGTTGTTGTTTTTTACGCACATGAAACATCCCTTTGAATTCACAATGAATTATGACAGAGGAAACTTACAAGCCAATCTTGTTGTAGACCTCATCCTGTTGGAAAAAAATCTAAATTGGCTGTAAGGATGATGAAATACACATTTAAGGCCTAAAATCTTTATGCCTGCTTCTAATACCGTTACATAAAAGTAGAGTCGGCATACTGGCGTGGCGCATGGCACTGTAGCCTACTTACATCGTCTTTCTGCAGATGGATGGCCCAGAAGAGGAGGATGGCGAGGAGAACCACAAATAGTTTGAAGGACCCGGTGGTCCCGTCTGAGACCAACTCCTCCTCTGATGCTGGGAGGAGCTGGGACACTCGCCTACGGAGGCCCAGGTACTCGACTGAATTGGTGAACATGATTACTTTTTCAGTCACACATCACCACGACCATGCACTGTAGGATTAGATATTAAAAATGCGCACAGAGATTTAGCTTCGATCCAGCGGTGTTCTGGTGGTTGCACATTCTTCTTTTTGGGGGGGTAGATCAGCTTAATATTGCAGATAGATTGTAACTTCCATCAATGTAATTGTCTGCATGACTTCCAATCCCCCATGTTTTTTTATATATATACTCCCCTTTATTACTTTTCAACCCCGCCATCCTTTCCCTACTTGGGGTAAATTAGTGAACAACAATGCTTAGGCCTCTACTTCCAGCTTATACTTACTATCTACATTTTATGGACACAGTCAATTTTACAATAATTCTATTTTATTTGTTTTTGCTCCTGAACTACTTCTACTCTCAACCTCTCCGATCATTTTCATGATGTCCATCCGGTTTGCTTCTATATGCCATATCTTTCTAACTGTGCTTTTTCCCAAAAGCTCCCAACATACAACCTATATACTTATTATGGACACAGTATGCTTACATTATTAGTTATCTTGTTATTATTTGTTGTTATTTGTTATTAGTCCCATCCTTCAACTCCATTCAACACCTCCCATCTATCTCTTAACACCATCCATATAGGATTTCTATTTGCCATATATATTTCAACTGTACTGTGATGATTTACAAAAGTTCTGAACCTTTCTATTCTCATTGCTTCTACAGATTGTGAATTAAAAATAAACATTTTTGCTAAAAGTATTATTATATTATTGATCGATTGACTATGACTTTTCAGATCACCCAGTAATGCTATCTGCAAGGTTAATTCCAAGTAAATATTGCAATCCTTTAGCCATTCCTGGACCTGTGTCCAAAAACAAGCTACAAATGGACAAAACCAAAACAAATGATCTAATGATTCTGTCTCTTCACAGGAAAATATGCAGAGCTGGGAAGATTGTATCCCCCATATAAATAACATTCTATTGGTAGCAATAATTTTATATAAACATTTTAATTGAAAGATTCTAATTTTTGAATCCGGTGTCGTTTTGCATGTCAGTTCATAAACACTATGCCATGGGATCGGTACGTCAAAAATCTCATCCCAACTATTTTGCAATCTATATGGGATGGCTGTCAATCCTTTGGTCCTTAAATGAAACTGATATACTTTTTTATTTATCACAGTTTTCCATAACCAATTATGTTCTTTAATGCAAGGCTGACAGACACTTTCCCCCTTCCACTTTCCTCTTCCATTTTTGCGGTAAGGCTGCAATTATTTGGTTGTAATTTTGGGTAGAGCAGACATTTCCATATGTTTTTGTTAGCTGCATGTGCGACATAACTCCACCAGTCCTACCGATGATATCATTTACGAAGATTATACCTTTTTTAAACATTTTGTCAAAAAATAAAGGTTTTTTTGTCAATTAGTATATTTGAATTTAACCACAATATTTGTTGCATTATTTGTTCTGTCGTTTCTGGAGGATTAAATTGAAATTGCAACCAACTTTCTATGGCTTGTTTTAGAAATAGTGATATTTGGGAGATGATTTCCTTTTCAAATAACTGAAAATGAGCGGTTGTAATCTGAATAAAGGGAAAAAGGCCATTCTTGAACATTGGGTGAGACAATCTTACTAATTTGCTTGAGAACCAGTTCGGATTTAAGTATAACTTTTGTATGACTGAAGCTTTTAGTGATAGGTCTAATGCTTTAATATTTAATAATTTCTGTCCTCCGAATTCATATTCATTATTTAAATAGGCCCTTTTAATTTTGTCTGGCTTGCCGTTCCAAATATGATTGAATATTTTTTTCTCATATAATAATAATAATAATATAATATGCCATTTAGCAGATGCTTTTATCCAAAGCGACTTACAGTCATGCGTGCATACATTTTTGTGTATGGGTGGTCCCGGGGATCGAACCCACTACCTTATAATTTAAAAAACTGTTCGCTAGGCGTAGGCAAGACCATAAGCAAATAGGTCAACTGGGATAATACCCAAAGAGTAAAAAACAAACAATAGGCTTGAACATTTTTTTTACCACACCAGACAAGAAGTTCCCTCACGGAAAATAAAGTTCATTGATTTGAATTGAATTATTTTATCGTTTTAGGGGGTGAGGATTCCACAAAGCAGATACAACATCACCAAGCACTTTATTGGTCGTCTGCCCACAGTATTTGGTTATTCTGACAAACTGACAAAAAATAAAATATAAAAAGGAGTTTATTGCAGGACCAGTACAGGTTTGAAGAAAGAATTAGACAAAATAGTTCATCATGTAGGCTAACAGGATACTAAGTTATATAATTTAACACACAATACACACATCAAAACCAACTGTTGCCATCAAAATGTTAAACTAAGATCACTAGCACTTGAAAATGATTGACAGTGTTGCACAGCATGTGCTGTTAAAATTCAACAATATCTGGAAGCAAACAGCATGGCAGCATGTTTTAAGCTTGAGAGCTATACTGTATTCAGCGGCGCCTGCAGGCTAGAACCAGAGCTGTAGTGGTCACCATGAGGATGAGAAATACAGCCTTCAACAGTAGGTACCACACCATCGCAACATCCAGAACACCTGAGAGAGAGAGAGAGAGAGAGAGAGAGAGAGAGAGAGAGAGAGAGAGAGAGAGAGAGAGAGAGAGAGAGAGAGAGAGAGAGAGAGAGAGAGAGAGAGAGAGAGAGAGAGAGAGAGAGAGAGAGAGAAGAGACGAGAGAGAGAGAGAGAGAGAGAGAGAGAGAGAAGAGAGAGAGAGAGAGAGAGAGAGAGAGGAGAGAGAGAGAGAGAGAGAGAGAGAGAGAGAGCTTCACGTTAATTTGATCTCTTTGATGTTTTCACCTCTGAGTCCCAGGGTAAACATTTCCCTTGAATCCATCTTTACCAGGCTATTTCTACGGTAGAAAAGAAAGAAAGAGAAAGAAAATAAAGAAATGTAGAAAAGAGAGACAGACAGGAAAGAGAAAGAGAGAGATTAAAATCACTGAAGCCACAAGGACATTATTCTCATTAATATCATTGATGCTGGGCGGTGAACTATAGACGCTGGGCGGTGAACTATAGGGCTGCTAAACCATGTGGATGGGAATGAACATCTCACCTTGGCTGGAAACCCCAAACCCACGCACCTCACACATACCCTGCTTTGGCTCGACCGTGGGCTCAAGGGTATTGACAGAGGGCCCAGAGGTAGGGAGGTCTGGGAGTAAAAAACGGAACATTATATTTAGATACATACAGAGGTGTAACTGACTGAGTATAAACTGGGTCATCTGCGTGCTACAAGGCTGTATTAACGCACTGAGCTGAAGCCTAGTTATTAGCTCTGGGCGATAACACAAATATTCAGATCTCTGACAACGTTACACATCACACAGGCCTAAATTTGGATTTCTTTATTTTACTCTTATTATTGATATTGATTATTGTACTGCAATGTTGACGGAGTTAGCACATAAGCATTTCGCTGCCCCTTTTACACCTGCTGTAAACTGTGTACGTGACAAATAACATTGGATTTAATTTTGATTTGATCTTACCTCCCACTGTAATAACAGCTGTGGTGCCCAGGGCATCAGGTGGTTCTGTCCTACAGCTGTAGTTCCCACTGTCCTTCTCCCCAGCTCCAATCACATGCATAGACAGAGTAATGTTGGGCAGGATGGAGGTAGCGTTCAGTAGGACCCGGCCATCCTTCCACCACTGCATGGCATGGCTGGGTTGCAGGCAGACAAACTCACAGGCCAGGCTGAAGCTGTGGCCCGGCCGGATCCTTTGGTCCACATAGGCTGAGTTGATGGAGGTGTAACAGTGGCCTATAAGTCCAAAAACATCCACTTGTTATAAGAAACCACTTGTGTTATTAAGCTTGTTAAAACCACTTATGAGCTTGTTATAACCACTTGTTAGGATATAAGCAAAAATTGTCCAAGCTCAATTTACTATTTATCCATCCTATTCATCAATTTGAAATATGACAAAAAGAGAGAATTTACCTTAGAAAGACAACATGCTCCTTTCCACTAAAAGCCTATGACTAGACTTACCTCTGACTTGGACCAAGAGAAAAGCTATCCACAAGATCAAGTACATAATGTCAATCAGTCCCGCTTGTGACATATGTCAGTCTGTCCTTTTCACAGCTTGATGTGTGCACTGAGTTCTTTCAGACAGTGTGGAAACTACCTATAGGGTGACCTCTCACTCACTCAGGAAACCCAGGTCTGAGCTCTGAGTAGCTCTCATGATACACTTTTTCTCAATTGCTAAAACACTAAACCCTATTGTCTGAACCAAATGCTCAGTTGCCTGAACCCACTGATTGAATCAATCACTCTTTTGGCAAAACCATAAGCACTTTTCACCTGTTTAGACATAACTTGCCAACACATTTTCATTGTGATGCACCCGTGCTGCATAATGGTGAGCACAGGTGACAAAAGTCAAACACAATTAGAGCACAGGTGTCACCACTTGAACACAACAACTCAAAATTGATCACACTTGTGGCTAATGATGTGAGGGAACATATACAGTAAGCCAGTTCAGAGAGCACTGGTTTGTGAGGCCCTACAATGGATAGAAATCTGAGAGGAAGAGTTCGTGTGAGAGGAGGTCGAGGTGGTCGAGGTGGTCAGCGAAGACAAAGAACAGTAATATCTGATGAAATCAGAGCTACAGTGATTGACCATGTTCTTGTCCATGGTATGAGCATGAGGGAGGCTGGACAAAGGGTACAACCAAACATCAGTAGATTCACTGTGTCCACCATAATCCGAAGATTTAGAGAAGAGAACAGGTAATTACCTTTTTTTGACATTATAGTACAGTATGTAAATGTTGACAGCAATTACTGTATGACATACTATATACTGTACCACAGTAGACTGTAAGTAAATATATGTTTCAGTACATCACTGTACCAATGTACTGTAGTATTGTAATGGAGGGTTGGTCTAACTGTTTGTAGGCCTAGTATTCCATGTATATTTTTTGTAACTCCATGTTCTCTTTTTGTAGAATTGAAAGACTGCCACATGAGGGTGGGAGGACAGGTATGTTCTCCCCACACCAAGAGACCCTAATTGTTGATATGGTCCGTGAGAACAATGCCATTAAACTGAGCGAAATTCAGCAGAAGATCATTGAGGACCATTTAAATTTTGAGGGTATCAACAGTGTCAGCCTCTCTACTGTTGATCGTGTCCTCAAGCGCAACAGACTGCGCATGAAACAGCTATACAGAGTGCCCTTTGATCGCAACAGACAGTCAAAGAGCAAAGATTCCAGTATGTACAGGTTGGCATATATCCAGACACATTCAATGTTGATTACTCTAAGTAGTGATTTACTGTAGTGGCCTAAATCACTTTTTCCGTATCACTTACAAAACTATATCTATTTATACAGAGGGTTTTTCAACTGGATGCAATGGAAAGACCCCATCAATACATCTACATGGATGAAGCTGGGTTTAATCTCACCAAAAGGAGAAGGAGAGGCCGTAATGTGATTGGCCATCGGGCCATTGTTGGTGTTCCTGGGCAGCGTGGTGGCAATGTCACATTTTATGTGCTGCCATCAGCAATCATGGGGTTGTCCACCATCATGCCAACCTGGGGCCCTACAACACTCACCAGCTCCTCATTTTCCTCAATCACATGCGAGATGCTTTGTTAGGGCAGCAGGATGAGCATCCCATCTATGTTGTTGTTTGGGACAATGTGAGTTTTCACAGAGCCCTCCAGGTTAGAGAGTGGTACAATATGAACCAAGGTTTTATCAATCTTTGCCTTCCACCGTACTCCCCCTTTCCTAAACCCCATTGAGGAATTCTTCTCCTCATGGCGGTGGAAGGTATATGAACGCCAACCTTACACCAGGGTAAATCTCCTGCAAGCCATGGGACTTGCCTGTGGTGACAAGGTGTGGAGGCATGCCAAGCCTGGATACGGCATGCCAGGGGTTTTTTTCCCCCGTTGCCTGGCCAGACAAAATGTGGCCTGTGATGTGGATGAAGTCCTGTGGCCTGACCCAGTACGGAGACATGATGCTGTGGCTGAGTAATGCACTTATTTGTATATTTTTGTACTTTATTTTTACATGGGCTTACTGTACACAAGTGGCAAACGCATAAGATTTCTGTTTGTTTTTACAAGTGCTACATGTAAATACACAAGATTTCTGTTTTGTCTTTTTGTACAAGTGCTAAATGCACAGTTTTTTTTTGTTTTGCAACATGCATTTAGCCTACAGTGAACAATAAACATTTATTTCTCCAGCTTCATGTCCTGAGCATTGTGTTTTCTATTTTTCTACGTAGTGTTTAGTGACTGTTCAGTAGTGTTTTTTATTTTGATTGAATCGTGGCACGATTTAACAACATTGTTCAGTTTTGAGCACAGATTGAACTGTTTTGAGGTGAAAGTTTGGTTTTGCAAGAAGAGTCTGAGGTTTTGTGAATGTAGCTTGAAAATTGGGTTTTGTGTTCACAGTTAAGAGAAAAGGAGAGCAGCTTTCAAGAAATGTGTCTTAGCAATCGAGAAAAACTGTAAACCAGCAGATGGTTTGATAACACTGACCAACAGATCACATCCTCTTGCAATTAATACTATTGCAAACTTGCAAAGCTTAAAGTTGAAGTTTGAAGGAGTATAATAGCCTATATAGTAGGGTCTATCATAGTAAGAGAGAGAGAGAGAGAGAGAGAGACGAGAGAGAGAGAGAGATAGAGAGTAGAGAGAGAGAGACAGCGAGAGAGATAGAGAGCGTCGAGCGCTAGCTGAGCGAGAGAGAGAGAGATAGCGCGCGAGAGAGAAGAGATAGAGAGGAGAGGGAGAGAGAGAGAGAGCTTCACACTCATTTGTTCTATCTCTTTGATGTTTTCACCTTTGAGTCCCCAGGTAAACGTTTCCCTTGAATCCATCTTTACCAGGCTATTTCTACGTGTTCATTTTCCAGAGAACGCATAGAGCCCCGAGTTGATTATCCCTTTTATCCCATGGCTTTAATTTAACACATTTGCCGCTAGAAATGTGTTCATTTGCAGGTAGAAATGTGTTCAACATCCACTGAAGTAGCTAGCAAGTTTACTAGATAGCTACAGCAGTTGCCTTGGTAACCAAACAAACAGATTTGCTAGTTTAGCTAAACAAACCACGAGTCATAGCTTGCTATTATGAAAATCGAATTCACAATGCCAATAATGCTATAAATTCGACTTTTGCTTTCAAAAGCAGATCAAACATAGAACATGTAAGAATGAACTATAGCCATTGAATTCTACCATGCTAATATACCGTGCATATTTAAGCAATAAGGCATGAGGGGGTGTGGTATATGACCAATATACCACGGCTAAGGCCTGTTCTTATGTACGACGCAACGCGGAGTGCCTGGATACAGCCCTTAGCCATGGTATATTGGCCATATACCACAAACCCAGAGGTGCCTTATTGCTATTATAAACTGGTTACCAACGTAATTAGAGCAGTAAAAATAAATGTTTTGTCATACCCGTGGTAAATGGTCTGATATACCCCGGCTGTCAGTCAATCAGCATTCAGGGCTCGAACCACCCAGTTTATACAGGGAAATAATACACGCTCTAGAATGCCCTTCAAGCCAATCAGAAACGTGTATTCAACAATGCCATGGTATAAATAAGGGATAATCAACCACGGCCTATGTGTTCTATGGAAAATAATCAATGACGTGGAAGGTGTGTTCCACAACGCACTAGTGGAGTGGAACTAATCTTCCATTGAGTCACATTATTTTCCAGAGAACGCATAGAGCCCAGAGTTGATTATCACTTTTATACCATGGCTATAATTTAACACATTTGCCACTAGAAATGTGTTCATTTGCAGGTAGAAATGTGTTCAACATCCACTTCACAATAACAGCATTTACAGTTGGCCGGGGCAGCTCCAGCAGAGCAGAAATTTGACGAACAGACTCGTTGGAAAAGTGGCATCCTATGATGGTGCCACGTTGAAAGTCACTGAGCTCTTTAGTAAGGCCATTCTACTGCCTATGTTTGTCTATGGAGATTGAATGGCTGTGTGTTCGATTTTATACACCTGTCAGCAACGGGTGTGGCTGAAATAGCCAAATCCACTAATTTGAAGGGGTGTCCACATACTTTTGTATATATAGTGTATGTCAGTCTGTCTTTTTCACAGCTTGATGTGTGCACTGAGTCCCTTCAGACACAGAAAGGCAGTGTGGAAACTATAGAGTTTATGAGCTCACACTTACTCAGGAAATGCAGGTCTGAGTAGCTCTCATGATAAACCAGTAGATGGTTTGATAACACTGACCAACAGATCACATCCTCTTGCAATTGATACTATTGCAAACTTGCAAAGTTTAAAGCTGAAGTTTGAAGGAGTATAATAGCCTATATAGTAGGGTCTATCATAGTAGAGAGAGAGAGAGAGAGAGAGAGAGAGAGAGAGAGAGAGAGAGAGAGAGAGAGAGAGAGAGAGAGAGAGAGAGAGAGAGAGAGAGAGAGAGAGAGAGACAAGAGAGAGCTTCACGTTAATTTGATCTCTTTGATGTTTTCACCTCTGAGTCCCCGGGTAAACATTTCCCTTGATTCCATCTTTACCAAGCTATTTCTACGGTAGCGCAAAACACACGTCTATCTGTCTACATCTGCTAACTACCGCGTGACATGTGTTTACATCCTCTCAGCTTTGTTCCTTTGGCTTGGAGAAATGAGTGCTGGTAGGCTAGTCAACCACTTCACAAACTAGCTGCATCCCAGGTGGCACAAACATCTGGCCCACATCTGGCCTGATTCCTGCATGCCAGATCTAAAACTGCTGGCCCAGGTCTAGCAGCCGTATCCGGCCTGAGTCTGAAATTAATGACGTACAGACTAGGCCCGAGTCTTTCGGGCCATATCTGGCAGCCTGAACTGAGCCAAAGCTGCCATTTTAGGGCCAGAATCGGCCCAGCAATGGCCCAAATCCACTCGATTCTACCCCCCCCCCCCTCCCCCACCATCACAAAAAATATATATATTAAATGTAGGTAGTAATATTATATTAAATGTACGTAGTAATATTGCATCAACCAAACTGTGAACAATATAAACATAAAGAAAGACA